TGGATCAGGACACAGGCCTGATGCTTGATGCTATATAAGGCTTGATGCTATGTCTTCACAGGAGGCAGGCTGGGCCATTCGCAGTCAATATTGACCAGTTTTATAATGAAATTTATGACAAAAAGAGTGTGCTCACCTTTTGTATAGGGTGGTCAGGGTTATTATTTTACAGATTGAATAAGATCAAAGTCATGGTATTAGGAGGACATGTTTTTCTTTTTTTTTTTTGAGATGGAGTCTCACTTTGTTGCCCAGGCTGGAGTGCAGCGGCAGGATCTTGACTCAATGCAACCTCTGCCTGCCGGATTTAAGCAATTCACCTGGCTCGGCCTCCAGAGTAGCTGGGATTACAGGTGCCTGCTACCACACCCAGCTAATTTTTTGTAATTTTAGAAGAGACAGGGGTTTCACCATGCTGGCCAGGCTGGTCTTGAACCCCTGACCTCGTGATCCACCTACCTCCGCCTCCCAAAGTGCTAGGATTATCAGCATGAGTCACCGCGCCCGGCCTGTTTTTCTTAAGTACCAGAAGAGTTGGTACCTAGAAAGAAATTAATCTTCAGAGTGGTGAATTACGTTGGATTTCAGTCACCTTAGGCCTAACCCAACACAAACTCCTCTAAGGGCCCTTCCCCCCTTCCAACAAATGGCCTAGAATTCTTTTCTGTCCAGGGGTCAGGAAAAACAGAGCTGAGAAGAAATACTTTAACATTCTCTGAATGCTTTAAAAGGGAAAATTTGCAAGACTAAAGAATAGATTGGAGGGGAGGTAGGTTCTGAGGAAGAAGGGGGTGGGGCCCTGAAAAGGCTTCAAAGGGCTGCTCTCAGCTGGAAGGGGATTGGGATCTTCTTGGAGGACTGGGCGTCTGGTTGGAACACCTATGAAAGCTTACGCAATGAGGCTGTGCCCCTTTTGCAGTACAAGGTTGCAAATTATCCAAGCCAAGGGCAGAAATCTCAATGTCCTTTTTACTCTATATGGCCTTGGGATTCTCCCACGGCCCTCCAGTAAAGAGCTGCTGGGTCCCCAAAAGGCTGCGGCAGTGGTGGGGTTGGGATTAAGGATAATCCTACTCCTCGGCCAGTGGATGGACAGTCGCCCATGTCTCTACTGTGGACCACAGGACAGCGAAGGCACAAACCAGCAGACAAGTCCCAGGTGGGAGTGAGTAGAAGGATGAGTCTCCTTTTCTTCCTTCTAGAGGGTAACTAAGAGGATGTGGAGGGAGGAGGCATGGCGGGAGGCTGAGGATTGCCATGTTCATTTCCTGAGTGATTGTTTGCTGATGGGGCTCTGGGATTCTAACTGAGATCTGTAATTCCGAAGCCTTCTCACTCTTCCTGGAAGATGGCCAATGTTTCAGTATTGAGTTTGTAAAGGTGCAGGCAGGAAAAGAAAAAAATAGTCTTGTGTTGCATTGGAGCGCTATCAAGTGCGATCCCAATATATATATTTTTTCTTTTCTTTTTTATTTATTTTTTTGAGAGTGCAATGGTGCGATCTCGGCTCACTGCAACCTCCACCTCCCAGGTTCAAGCGATTCTCCTGCCTCAGCCTCCCAAGTCACTGGGACTATAGGCGCATGCCACCACTCTTGGCTAATTAAAAAAAAAATTTTTTTTTAGAGACAGGGTCTCCCCTATGTTGCCCAGGCTGGTCTCAAACTCCCAGGCTCAAGTGATCATTATGCCTGGATCTCCCAAAGTGCTGGGATTACAGGCCTGAGCCACCACACCCAGCCCACTCCAGTGTTTCTTAAATCTCAGTGGCCAGACCTGGGATAGGTTGCTATTCAAAAGTGGCTTGTAGTTTTCTTTTTCTTTTCTTTTGTGATGGAGTCTCACTCTGTCACCAGGCTGGAGTGCAGTGGTGCGATCTCAGCTCACCGCAACCTCTGCCTCCCGGATTCAAGTGATTCTTCTGCCTCAGCCTCCCGAGTATCTGGGACTACAGGCACGTACCACCAAGCCTGGCTAACTTTGTATTTTTAGTAAAAATTCACCATGTTAGCCAGAATGGTCTCGATCTCCTGACCTCATGATCCGTCTGCCTTGGCCTCCCAAAGTGCTGGGATTACAGGCCACTGAGTGTGGCAGCAGCTTGCAGTTTTCTGATTTATGTTTGTTTGTTTTTAACTCGGAAAAAAATATCGTTCTGTTAGGACATATGATTTGTGTTTAAATGAAGACTGCAATTTTATTTGGGAGAATCCTCTCCCAGAACTTGAGCGGGATTCTTGGTTTGGCAAAGGCAAAACCCCAACTCTCACAGTGGAAGGGACAGACCTAACTGAACTGCTCTGAACAATAATGCCAATGGTTGTCTTCTTTTAACAGGGGTGCTGACTCTGATTTACTGAGAGTCCAGCCTGAAATATGTCAGGGTAGAGGTAGAGGGGAAAGTCCCTTCTGTTGGCAGCTTGCCAAAGGCGTTAAGAGTAAAGAGATAGCCTTGAGATGAAGTAAATTCCTTTGAGAGACGATAGGCCAGGGACTATAGATGCTGCATAATCTAATAGCCACTTTTAAATTTTTTAATTTTTTATTTTTTTGAGATAGAGTCTTGCTCTGTTGCTAGGCTGGAGTGCAGTGGTGCGATCTCGGCTCATTGCAGCCTTTGCCTCCCAGGTTCAAATGATTCTCCCACCTCAGCCTACTGAGCAGCAGGGACTATAGGCCGACGCCACCACGCTCAGCTAATTTCTGTGTTTTTAGTAGAGACGGGGTTTCATCATGTTGGCCAGGATGGTCTCAATCTGTTGACCTTGTGATCTGCCCGCCTCGGCCTCCCAAAGTGCTGGGACTACAGGCGTTCTAATAGCCACTTCTAAGTCTTCTCAGCTTTGTAATGCCCCAGACTTTCAGCAGCAGCCTGGTGTTGGCTGTGCTTAGGGTAATAAGGGAGGGATGTGTGTCCACACTCAGGATTTGCTTCCATCCTCTAGGATCTGACTCCAGACCCTCAGGCCAGAGGGGTGGTAGCTACAGGTGGGTGGCTGGTGATTCTGAAGCTCAAGGGGGTGGCTTGCCGCAGAATTCTAAAATGCCTTTTTTTTTTTTTGAGATGGAGTCTTGCTCTGTTACTCAGGCTGGAGTGCAGTGGTGCAATCTCACTGCAATCTCCGCTTCCCAGGTTCAAGTGATTCTCCTGCCTCAGCCTCCCAAGTACCTGGGGATTACAGGCACACACCACCATGCCTGGCTAATTTTTGTATTTTTTTTTTTTTTAGTAGGGATGGGGAATCTCACCATCTTGGCCAGGCTGGCCTTAAACTCCTGACCTCAAGTGATCCGCCTGTCTTGGCCTCCCAAAATGCTGGGATTACAGGCATGAGCCACCACACCCGGCCTGGAATGCTGTCTACTGAGGAAAGAAAGAAGCTGTACTGGGGAGTGCCAGGGTTCAAGTTCAAGCAAGTGTAAAACTCTGGCCTTAACTGAATCGCAAGTAGGAAACAAGTTAGGAATGGATTTGTGGGGCATGAAAACCTTTGAGGATTCTCAGGATTGTTTAGAAGAGAGGACTGGATTTTCTGTCACTAAATAGGGTGGGGCTTGTTCTACAGTTGATAATTTTGGGGGTGTGTGTGTCAAGGTCCCACTCTGTTACCCTGGCTGGAGTGTAGTGGTGTGATCTCGACTCACTGCAGCCTCTACCTCCTGGGCTCGGGCAGCCCTCTCACCTCAGCCTACCAAGTAGCTGGGACTACAGGTGCATACCACCACACCCAGCTAATTTTTGTATTTTTTGTAGAGACAGGGTTTTACTATGTTGCACAGGCTGGTCTCAAACTTCTGGGCTCAAGCAATCTGCCCACCTCGGCCTCCCAAAGTGCTGGGATTAAGGCAGGAGCCACCTCTCCCGACCTATAGTAGGCAATTAACTAGAAGTACGACTTTGGGATTGTAGAGGGAGGGTAATGAGACTCATTCCTTACCAGCCCAGGGTAGGAGACATTAATGGCCGGCAGGTTTCACCCTTAAATTTCTGTGAAGCCTTTCTTGACATCTGCCCTTTCCTTCTCTCCTTCAGTGTGTGCTTTTCCTTTCTCTGGCTCCCACTGCACTCTGCACATACCTTTATCACAGTAACCACTTATGCTGTATTGTAATTTGTAATTATCTATGTACACGTCTCCAAGTAGACTGACCTTAAGGGCTTGTACTCAGCCCCCGGGTTCAAGTTCCAGCTACGTCTCTAGTTAGTTTTGTGATCTTAGGCAAATAACTTAATCGCTCTATGCCCCAATTTCCTTGACTTATAAAGTTGGCATAAAACTCTCTGTCATATGCGGTTGCTGGGCGACATTAAGGTGACAATGCGTGTAAAGTACGAGGCAAAAGGTAAGTACAAAATAAACGGCTCTTGGCCGGGCGCGGTGGCTCAAGCCTGTAGTCCTAGCACTTTGGGAGGCCGAGGCGGGTGGATCACGAGGTCAACAGATCGAGACCATCCTGGTCAACATGGTGAAACCCCGTCTCTACTAAAAATACAAAAAATTAGCTGGGCACGGTGGCGCGTGCCTGTAATCCCAGCTACTCAGGAGGCTGAGGCAGGAGAATTGCCTGAACCCAGGAGGCGGAGGTTGCGGTGCGCGGAGATCGCGCCATTGCACTCCAGCCCGGGTAACAAGAGCGAAACTCCGTCTCAAAAAAAAATTTTTTTAAAAATAAAAAAAATAAATGGCTCCTAAAACGGTAAACATGTGTTAATTAACCTGATCCACCTTTACGTGTGCAAACACTTGAGCACCAAATGTCCTCTGGAACCCCGGAACGCCTTCTCCTCGGTGGAGCAGCCTCACGTGTGGCCTGTGGGCCTTGTCCCACGGGCCGGCTCGGAATTGGCTCCGCCGAAGAGAAAACTCTGCCCACAGCCCTTCCGATCTCGTCAGCGATTGGGCCGGGGCCGTCCCACACTTATTCTTGTTGCTGGGCTCGGAAATAGGGGGCGCTGCCAGGTTGCGCGTGCGCAGATTGAGAATGAAGTTTTCCGGTTGGGCGGGAGGAGGTAACGTCAGGAGCGGTGGCGGGCGGGGGCCTCGGGTAACCCTGGGGACGCTCTATCTGTGGGCCCTTAAATCGCGTCACAAATCAGCGACCGAACTCCGGCTGTGGTGGCTGAGACGGCGAAGGCGGCAGCGGCGGCGACAGCTCTGGGGTTTGCGTCTCGGGGTGTGTCGGCCGCCGCTGCTGCTCGGGCCTGGTATGTACAGATGGCTGGTTAGGATTCTCGGCACCATTTTCCGTTTCTGCGACAAGTCGGTGCCCCCTGCCCGGGCCCTCCTGAAGAGGCGGCGCTCAAACAGGTGAGACCAGAGGGGGCTGAGCAGCGGCCTGGCCCTCCCCCCTCCCCCACAGCGGCCTCCTCGGCGGCTGAGATGCTTTGATTCAGCCAGGCTCACCTGAGGCGGGTCGCCGGGGTCCGAGTGACGTAGCCGCCCCCGCCACGCCGTGGGGAGGCAGCTCCTGGTCGTCTTCGGAGCGGCAGATGATGGCAGGGTCGTTGACGTTCTTGTCAGAGGCCACGCTGGTTGCTGATAACTAATGGGGCTTTGCCGCGCTAGGCTGAACACCAACATTGAAGGAATACTGCCTTTGTTGTGGCTCACTGCTCACAAAGCAGCCTCCCAAGTGTCATCTGCGGTCATTAAGTGCATTTAAAGGAAGTGAGAGTCATACATTGCCCAAAGCCGTTTTGACTGCAACCACTGTCCTTGAAGCGAGAAACAGCAGCTGTTTTGTTCTGAAACAGCTGTCAAACAGTCTGTGTTTGGGGCCAGAAGGGTTTTGTGTTTTAGAATTAGTGAATGAGAAAAAAGGGCTACGTGCCTTATTACTTTAAAACAGTCACTAGTCTGTCCTCTTAAATTAAGTTAAAATTTGGGGGAAACTCAAAGCAGTTTTCTTTTTCTTTTCTTTTTTTTTTTTTTTTGGTTGAGACGGAGTCTTGCTCTGTCGCCAGGCTGGCGTGCAGTGACGCGATCTCGGCTCACTGCAACCCCCGCCTCCTAGGTTCAAATGATTCTCCTGCCTCAGCCTCCTGAGTAGCTGGGATTACAGGCGTGTGCCACCACGCCTGGCTAATTTTTGTATTTTTGGTAGAGATGGGTTTCACCACCTTGCCCAGGCTGGTCTTGAACTCCTGACCTAAAGTGATTTGTCCACCCCAGCCTCTCAAAGTGCTGGGACTGCAGGCATGAGCCGCCGTGCCCCGCCCCAAAAGCTGTTCTTATTTAGCATCTGCTCTTTGGAGCGTCCCATTTTATCGAATCGACTGACCTCCTTGCCTAGAAATTAATCTAGAAAATAACATACAAATTCTGCCCCCTCCCCAAGTTCAGTGATCAAGTGTTAATTTCATTTTTTAAAAATTAAGCCTCAATATCAAGAAAAGTGAAAGAAGTGGTGATTTGTGGAAGCTTGCGAGGACAAGATGTCTAATACGTTAGTCTGAGAATGCAGGTTATTAATGAAATTGGTTGTTGCTTAAACTGCATCTCTGGAATACATTGCCTTATTTTTCTCTCCTATCTTTCTGTGGTGTTGATGTAAGGTTCATTTGAGAACTTGTTGTAAAGTGCTTAAACTGATGCTCAATGTATATAAGGGTAGTGTTTGTTTATTCTACCCCGGGGTCTTTTGCAGACTCTGGTGCATGATAAGCACTAGGTACATATTTATCAAATAACAGAAAGTTAATTCCCTTTCCCTTGTCCTCTTTTTGATGTGAGTCCCTTCTAGTCTGGGGAACATGGTTTGGAGATCAAAACCTTGATTTTTACTACATGTTAAGTGTGTTCACATCCTTAATCCAATTTTCAGTGTAAACCAATTTTCAGTCAAAATGAAACCAGGAGGCTTGTTGGAATGTATAAAGGTATGAGCTGAGTGGAATCCTGGGATCTCATTCTTCTCATTTTGTGTGTGTGTGTGTATGTGTGTGAATATAATAGATGATAGGTGTTCAGAGAGACGATGAGTAATATGCTGTGAGCCTTTAACATTCTTGACATCTGGATCCTGAAACTTTCCTCAATTCCGAAGTTCTTTATTACCACCATAATGCAATGTAGTTTGCATGATAAAAGTTATTAAACACCTTTTTCTGATTCAGATTTCTCTCTTTTAAGTTGTAGAACAGGTTTTTTTTGTTGTTGTTTGTTTGTTTTTTGAGACGGAGTTTCATTCTTGTTGCCTAGGATGGAGTGCAATGGCGTGATCTAGGCTCACTGCAGCCTCTGCCTCCCAGGTTCAAGCAATTCTCCTGTTTCAGCTTCCCGAGTAGCTGGGATTACAGGTGCCCACCACTATGCCTGGCTAATTTTTGGTATTTTTAGTACAGATGGGGGTGGGGTGGCATGGGGGGGGCGTGTTTCACTACATTGGCCAGGCTGGTCTTGAACTTCCGATCTCAGGTGATCCACCTGCCTAGGCCTCCCAAAGTGCTGGGATTACAGGCGTGAGCCACTGTGCCTGGCCTTGTAGAACAGTTTTTTTTTTTTTTTTTTTTTAACTCCCTTACACACACAAAAGAAAAAACAAAAATTAAAAAAAAATATCTTTTAAGGCTGTTCATGTTAATACTGTCACCTAAAGTAAAAGATGGCTTTCTAGGCTGGGCGCGGTGGCTCACGGCTATAATCCCAGCGCTTTGAGAGGCCGAGGCGGGTGGATCACACGGTCAAGAGATCGAGACCATCCTGGTCAACAAGGTGAAACCCCGTCTCTACTAAAGCAAAAATTAGCTGGGCATGGTGGTGCACGCCTATAGTCCCAGCTACTCAGGAGGCTGAGGCAGGGGAATTGCTTGAACCCAGAAGGCAGAGGTTTCGGAGAGCCGAGATTGTGCCATTGTACTCCAGTCTGGGTAACAACAGCGAAACTCCGTCTCAAAAAAAAAAAAAAAAAAAGATGGCGTTCTTTGGGGATCATTTTCAGTTGCTTATTTGTTGTTTTTAAATTATTTCTGGAGAGAAAGAGAAAATATTAGTCCTAAACTCTTACCTGGGTTCATTTACTAGCTAAGTGACTTTGGCCAGTTTCAAGTTTGTACTTTAACCAGATGGCAAATTATTATTTGGTAGGAAGCTTGGGTCTTTCTCAAATAGTTGAAACTGTAGCATTGAGTCTTCAAATGTGAAAAGCCTACTATAAAATAGCAGTCTCGAGGCCGGGCGTGGTGGCTCAGGCCTGTAATCCCAGCACTTTGGGAGGCCGAGGCAGGTGGATCACGAGGTCAACAGATCGAGACCATCCTGGTCAACATGGTGAAACCCCGTCTCTATTAAAAATACAAAAAATTAGCTGGGCATGGTGGCGCGTATCTGTAATCCCAGCTACTCAGGAGGCTGAGGCAGGAGAATCTCTTGAATCCCGGGGGGCAGAGGTTGCGGTGAGCCGAGATTGCGCTATTGCACTCCAGCCTGGGTAACAAGAGCAAAACTCTGTCTCGAAAAAAAAATAATAATAATAAAATAAAATAGCAGTCTCTCTTTTGTTTTGTTTTTATTTTTAGTTTTATTTCTTTTTTTTTTTTTTTTTTTTTTTGAGATGGAGTCTCTTTTACCCAGGCTGGAGTACAGTGGTGGCGATCTCGGCTCACTGCAACCTTTCCCCCACCGGAGTCAAGAGATTCTCCTGCCTCAGCCTCCTGAGTAGCTGGGATTACAGGTGCCTGCCACCATGCCCAGCTAATTTTTTTTTTTTTTTTTTTTTAAGTAGAGATGAGGTTTCACCATCTTGACCAGGCTGGACTTGAACTCCTGACCTCATGATCGCCTGCCTTGGCCTCCCAAAGTGCTGGGATTACAGGTGTGAGCCACCATGCCCAGCCAGTTTTATTTCTTTTAGAGACAAACTCTCACTCTTGCCCAGGCTGGAGTGCAGTGGTATGACCTGGGCTCACTGCAGCCTTGACTTCCTAGGCTCACGTGATCCTCCTGCCTTAGCCTCCAGGGTAGCTGGGACCACAGGCACATACCACCAAGGCCGGCTAATTTTTTATTTTTATTTTTAGTAGAGATGAGGTCTTACTTTGTTGCCCAGGCTGATGTCAAACTCCAGAGCTCAAGCTGTCCTCCCCTTTGGCCTCCCAGAGTGCTGGGATTACAGGCACCAGCCACTGTATCCCACCAGCATTCTCTGGGGCCGGGTGTGGTGGCTCACACCTGTAATCCCAGCACTTTGGGAGGCCGAGGCAGGTGGATCATTTGAAGTCAGGAGTTCAAGATCAGCCTGGCCAATGTGGTAAAACCCCATCTCTTCTAGAAATACAAAAATTAACCAGGCAGTAGTGGCACGTGCCTGAAGTCCCAGCTACTTGTGAGGCTAAGGCAGGAGAATCTCTTGAATCTGCGAAGCAGAGGTTGTGATGAGCCAAGATCCTGCCACTGCACTCCAGCCTGGCAACCGAGTGAGACAGTCTCAAAAAAAAATCAGTTGGATCTCATTTTATAATAAAGCAATAGAAGGGGGGGGATGTGTTATATGAATAGTAAGTTTACTTATATAAATGAGTGTGTGTGTATATATATAAAAATGCACATTTTCTTTTCTTTCTCTCTTTCAGCAGTCTGTTTTCTGCAGTGGACACTGATGAAATACCAGCCAAAAGACCAAGATTAGGTACTGAATATAAATTTTAAAAATTTTTAGTTTATTATTAGGAAAAATACATGCATGAAACAAAATTCAAAAGGTAAAAAGCATGCAGTAAAAAGTAAGTCTTGTCCAGTCGCAGTAGCTCACACCTGTAATCCTAGCACTTTGGGAGGCTGAGGTGGGAGGATCACCTGAGGACAGGAGTTTGAGACCAGCCTGGCCAACATGTCAAAACCCCATCTCTTCTAAAAACACAAAAATTAGCTGGGCGTGGTAGCAGGCATCTGTAATCCCAGCTACTTGGGAGGCTGAGACAGGAGAATTGCTTGAACCCGGGAGGTGGAGATTGCCGTCAGCTGAGATGGTGCCACTGCACTCCAGCCTGGGGTGACAAGCAAGACTTCGTCTTAGGAAAAAAAAAAAAAAAAAAAGTAAGTCTCTTTCCTAGCCAGATGTGGTGGCTCAGACCTCTAATCCCAGCCCTTTGGAGGCTGAGGTGGGAGGATCTCTTGAGGTCAGGAGTTCGAGACTAGCCTGGCCAACATGGCAAAAACCAATCTCTACTAAAAATTAAAATATTATCCAGATGGTGCACACCTGTGGTCACAGCTACTTGGGAGGCTGAGGCATAAGAATCACTTGAACCCCAGAGGCGGAGGTTGAAGTGAGCCAAGATTGTGCCACTGCATTCCAGCCTGGGTGACAGAGCAAGACTCTGTCTCAAAAAAAAAAAAAAAAGTCTCTTTCCTGTCCCTTTCTTACTTATCTTTTCTAGAGGTGACTACTGTTACCAGGGATGTCTGATTTCTGCAGGTAAATAAGCCTAGGTGTAGACTGCATTATTTTAAAATTCTAAATCCTTCTATAAAGAAAAGACACTTCTTTTTAAGAAGGAAACATTATAAATATTTCAAACTGAGGTGATTCTAGTTCAGATGCTGAGGGAACCCATCTTACTTTTTTTTTTTGAGACAGGGTCTCATTCTGTCACCCAAGCTGGGATGCAGTGGCATGATCATGGCTCACTGCAGCCTCCCTGGGCCCGGGTGATCCTCCCACCTAAGCCTCCCAAGTAGTTGGTTGGGCCTACAGGCATGTTGTCACACCTAGCTAATTTTTGTATTTTTTTTGTAGAAACAGGGTCTTGCTATATTGCCCAGGCTGAAATAGGCAGCAGTGGCATTCTGAAAGAATACTCTTGTCTTTAGGAACCAATAATATTTTTCTTTTTTTTTTTTTTTTTTTTTGAGACAGGGTCTCACTCAATACTCTTGTCTTTAGGAACCAATAATATTTTTCTTTTTTTTTTTTTTGAGACAGGGTCTCACTCTTGATCTTGTCATCAACAGGTTGTTTTTTTTCTTTTTTTGAGATGGAGTTTCGCTGTTATTACCCAGACTGGAATGCAATGGCACGATCTCAGCTCACCGCAACCTCCGCCTCCTGGGTTCAAGCAATTCTCCTGCCTCAGCCTACTGAGTAGCTGGGACTACAGGTGCACACCACCATGCTCAGCTAATTTTTTTTTGTATTTTTAGTAGAGACGAGGTTTCACCTTGTTGACCAGGATGGTCTTGATCTCTTGACCTTGTGATCCACCTGCCTCGGCCTCCCAAAGTGCTGGGATTATAGGCGTGAGCCATCGAGCCCGGCCCTTTTTTTTTTTTTAAACAGAGTTTCACTCTTGTTACCTAGGCTGGAGTGCAATGGTGCGATCTCAGCTCACTGCAACCTCCGCCTCCTGGGTTCAGGCAATTCTCCTGCCTCAGCCTCCTGAGTAGCTAGGATTACAGGCACACGCCACTATGCCCAGCTAATTTTTTGTATTTTTAGTAGAGACAGGGTTTCACCATGTTGACCAGGATGGTCTCGATCTCTTGACCTTGTGATCCACCCACCTCGGCCTCCCTAAGTGCTGGGATTACAGGCTTGAGCCATTTCGCCCGGCCTGTTTTTTTTGTTTTTTTTTTTTAAATTTTGTAAGAGGTGAGGGTGTCACTCTGTTGCCCAGCTTCAGTGCAGTGGCACGATCATAGCTCACTGCAGTCTCAAACTCCTGGGTTCACCCAATCCCCCTGCCTCAGTCTCCCAAGTAACTGGGACTATAGGTGCATACCACTACACCTGGTGAATTATTTTATATTTGGTAGCTATCAGAACTCCTGGCTTCAAGTGATCCTCCTGCCTGGCCTCCCATAGTGCTGGGATTATGGATGTGAGCCACTGCACCTAGCCAAGTCTTTTATTTCAGTATATTTGAATGGTTAAAGAAAATAAAAAGTAGATTAAAGGAAAAAGGCATAGTAAAATACTGTAATAATATAGTCTTTCTCAAAAACAATTGTAAATTTGCATTTACCTCCAGATGTGGAATTGAGTGTGGATATATTTGTGTTAATATTTCGTTTAAATTCAATGAGTGCTTATTGAGCATGTCTCAGTGCTAACCAATATGTTAGGTTTAACAGAAAATACAAAAATTAGTAAGACAGGGTCTCCATTTTTCTTCTTTTGAGATGGAGCCTCACTCTATTAATGCCCCGGCTGGAGTGCAATGGCACAATCTTGGACCACTGCAACCTCTGCCTCCTGGGTTCAAGTGATTTCCCCCTCCCAACTAGCTGGGACTACAGGTGCCCACCACCATGCCTGGCTAATTTTTGTGTTTTTAGTAGAGATGGGGTTTGACCGTGTTGGCCAGACTGGTCTTGAACTCTTGACCTCAGGTGATCCACCCACCTCTACCTTGCAAAGTGCTGGGATTACAGACATGAGCTGTCGGCCTGGCTGTGTTTTTATTTCTTTATAGGGCAGGTGATGTTGGCTTTACATATGCAGTAGTAATTTGAAATTATCTTTTTTAAGCCGAAAAAGGAAGTCAGTTTTAAAGAAAAATATAAATAGCTTGTACTTGTACTTGGATGTGGTTAAACAACAATAATGACAACACAAACTTTGGTATTACAGAAGGTTTCTGAGTTAATTATTATAATCATCTGTTTTATGGATTTCAATGTTAAGGATCACTTACTGCATAGTTCCCATTAAATATGTAGTATGATTTTCTGAATGGCAAACTGTAGAAGGGAATGTAAGCCAAAGGGGAAGCAGTGGCTAGCAGAGTTTCTAAAGGTCTGTAGAGTGCTGTCCAGTAGAACTTCCTGCAGCGATGACCGTTGAGCACTTTAAATGCGGCTATTTCAGTTGAGGAACTGAATTTTACATTTTATTTGATTTTAATAAAATTTTAGGTAACCATATCTAGCTACTAGCTACTGTGTTGGTCAGTATAACTCCATGGATTGCTTTTGAGAGAAAAAAGCAACACAAGGGTAAAAGGAAAGAAAGAAGACTCAGAATTTCAGGTTCATGATCCTAAAGGTGAAAGATTTTAAGAGATCTATGCAGTCTAGTCTTAGGAAAGTAACGTGATCTTTCTCCCATTTTACAGATGAGGCAGGCCTTCTGTTTAAAAAAAAAAAATCAGTGAGATCTTTTGACATAATCTCTGGGGCATACCCAGATTTTGATTAAATTTGTAGGAAAATAAATACTATGATATTGTTTAGTAGCCACAATTTGCTATGTTATCAAGAGTCCTCTTGTCCTCTAGGGTCTGGATGACAGACTAGGGGTTAAGCATCAATCTCTAAAGCTCTTTTTATCCTCCTTATAAAGCACAAGAGAATGTGTAATATCCCTCAGCAGTATTAGATGGGGATAACATGGAATTCTCTGATTCACAAAATGAAAAACAACTCATTTGCATAGTTTGGTACTTATAACTATTAGCAAATTACTTCAATTTGGATTGTGCTTTGCCTGGTCCTTACTTTTCCCCTTTTGTTTGTTATTCCACTCTGTTACTGGAAAGTATTTTATATGCTCTGAAGCACTTACTGCTTAAAAGCTACCATTGCAGTTCATTTTTCCCTAAAGCAGAATGGCTAAGGTGATGGTCTGTTTTTCTCAAACTAGTGTTTTCAAATACCCTTAATTAGGAAATTGAAAGGAAATTGTAGAAAGCTTACATCAGATATATAGAAAGTGAGAAAGAGGTAGTGTAATAAAAGTAGGAAGTGAGGAAAACACTGAAACCTACCCTTTCCCTTTATTTCTGGTGGTAAGGAGGGGTGAGCCTGAGTTTTGTTTTGTTTTGTTTCTTTTTTTGAGATGGAGTCTCACTCTGTCACCCAGGCTGGAGTACAGTGGTGTGATCTCAGCTCACTGCAACCTGTGCCTCCCAGGTTCAAGCAATTCTTCTGCCTCAGCCTCCCAAGTACCTGGGATTACTGGCACACGCCACCATGCTCAGCTAATTTTTTTTTGTATTTTTAGTAGAGACGAGGTTTCATCATATTGGTCAGGCTGGTCTTGAACTCCTGACCTAGTGATCTGCCCTCCTCAGCCTCCCAAAGTGCTGGGATTACAGCTGTGAGCCACCACCCCCACCCGAGATTTTTTCTTTTGAGACAGGGTCTTACCTCTGTCACCCAGACTGGAGTGCAGTCTGGGTGACAGATCTCGGCTTACTGCAACCTTCACCTCCCAGGTTCCAGTGATCCTCTTACTTTAGCCTCCCATGTAGCTGGACTTTTAGGCATGTGCCACCAGGCCCAGCTAAATTATTTCTTTTTGAGGTGGAGTCTTGCTCTGTTGCCAGACTGGAGTATAGTAGTGCAATCTTGGCTCACTGCGACCTCCACCTCCCAGGTTCAAGCGATTCTTCTGCCTCAGCCTCCTGAGTATCTGAGGTTATAGGTGTGTACCATGATACCCAGCTAATTTTTGTATTTTTTGTAGAGACGGGGTTTTGCCATGTTGACCTGGCTGATCTCAAACTCCTGACCTCAAGTGATCTGCCTGCCTCTGCCTCCCAAAGTGCTGGGATTACAGGTGCGAGCCATTTGCCCAGCCTGATCTTCTAACACATCTCCACTAGAGGGATAGTCTTGTTCCATCTTGGATGTTTAAAAGCTGCATATTTTAGTCCAGGTTACGCCTGTAATATCAGCACTTTGGGAGACTGAGGCAGGAGGATCACTTGAGCCCAGGATTTCCAGACCAGCCTGGACTACATAGTGAGACCCTGTCTCTACCAAAAACAAAAATTAAAAAAATTAGCCAGGCATTGTGGTGCGTGCCTGTGATCCCAGCTACTCAGGAGGCTGAGGTAGGAGGATCACTTAAGCCCAGGAGGTTGAGGCTACAGTGACTAGTGATCATGCCACTGCACATCAGGCTGGGTGAAAGAGTAAGGCCCTGTCTCAAAAAAAAAAAAAAAAAAAGCTGCATATTTTATACTTCACTTAGCCAAGATATAATAGCAGCTTAGTAAACCGTTGTTTAGGGCAACTGCAGTATATTGTTACCTGCCGGGAAGTAAGGACAAACCAGTGAGAGTATGACAGTGCTTCCTGTAGAATTCTGCCACACTTGGTGGCTATATGCTCCTTGTTGTTTAATCATGCCCTCACCTCTGTGGTAAAACTTTATTTTTTATTTTATTTTGAGACAGACTGTCACTCTGTTGCCAGGCTGGAGTGCAGTGGTGCGATCTCAGCTCACTGCATCCTTCGCCTCCCGGGTTCAAGCGATTCTTCTGCCTCAGCCTCCCGAGTAGCTGGGACTACAGGCGCCTGCCACCATGCCCAGCTAATTTTTGTATTTTTAGTAGAGATGGAGTTTCACCATGTTGGTCAGGATGGTCTTGATCACTTGACCTGCCTCAGCCTCCCAAAGTGCTGGGATTACGGGAGTCAGCCTGTAATCTACCTGCCTCAGCCTCCCAAAGTGCTGGGATTATAGGAGTGAGCCACTGTACCTGGCCTATTTTTATTTATTTATTTATTTATTTTGAGACAGAGTCTCACTCTGTCGCCTAGGCTGGAGTGCAGTGGCGCAATCTCAGCTCACTCCAATTTCTGAGTTCAAGCAATTCTCCTGCCTCAGCCTTCCGAGTAGCTGGAACGACAGGTGTGCACCACTGCGCCCAGCTAATTTTTTGTATTTTTTTTAGAGACGGGGTTTTACCATGTTGACCAAGCTGGTCTCGAACTCCTGACCTCGTGATCCACCTACCTTGGCCCCCCAAAGTTCTGGGATTACAGGCATGAGCCACTGTGCCTGGCAAAAGTTTATTTTATGTGTCCTGGAGAACTCATTGCTTAAAAGCTGTCATTTCAGAACATTTTGCGTGTATGTGAATCAGTGTGGATTTGCTAAAGTGATGATTTAATGTTTTTATATTCACATATTTGATTTAAAAAACAATATCACAATACTGGTATTCCAGTTATTCAGTTAGAAAAAGATTATTTTTATAATTACCTTTTTATTTCTTTTTTTTTTTTTTTTTTTCCGAGATGAAGTCTCCCTCTGTTGCCCACCCTGGAGTGCAGTGGTGCAATCTCAGCTCACTGCAACCTCTACTTCCCAGGTTCAAGTGATTCTCCTGCTTCAGCCTCCTGAGCAGCTTGGACTACAGGTGTCCGCCACCATGCCCAGCTAATTTTTATATTTTTAGTAGAGACGGGGTTTCACCATGTTGGCCAGGATGGTCTTGAACTCTTGACTTTGGGAGGCCGAGGCGAGTGGATAACAAAGTGCTGGGATTACAGGTGTGCACCACCGTGCCAGGCCACCTTTTTATTTCAGTGGTTGAAAATAGGACCTTTGGCTAGGTATGGTGGCTCACACCTGTAATCTCAGCACTTTGGGAAGCCGAGGCAGGTAGATCACCTGAAACCAGGAGTTCAAGGCCAGCCTGACTAACATAGAGAAACCCCATCTCTACTGAAAATACAAAATTAGCTGGGCATGGTGGCGCATGCCTATAATCCCAGCTACTCTGGAGGCTGAGGCAGGAGAATCGCATGAATCCAGGGGTGGTGGTTGTGGTAAGCCGAGATCACGCCATTGCACTCCAGCCTGGGCAACAAGAGTTAAACTCCATCTCAAAAAAAAAAAAATAGGACTTTTTTCAGTTTTATTTTTGGAGACAGTCTCACTTTGTCGCCCAGGCTGGAGAGCAATGGCACGATCACAGCTCACTGCCGCCTAAACCTCCTGGGCTCAGATGATCCTCCCACCTCAGCCTCCCAGGTATCTGGGACTCCAGGCGCAGGACACCATACCCAGCTAATTATTGTAGAGTTGGAGTTTCTCCATGGTGGCCCAAGCTGGTCTTGAGCTCCTAGGCTCAAGCAAGCCTCCCATCCCAGTGTCCCAAAGTGTTGGGATTACAGGTGTGAACCGCTGCACCCGACCAATAGAACTTTTAATGAAAATTGAGAGAGGCTGTTTCCAAGATATCATTTGATTTTTTTTTGCTGGAAGTTTATTACTATATATTTACAGTTTGTTGACACTTTCTAGATTGCTTTATTCACCAAGTGAAAAACAGTCTCTACAATGCTGCCAGCTTATTTGGATTCCCATTCCAGCTGACCACAAAGCCCATGGTAACTTCTGCTTGTAATGGAACACGGAATGTGGCCCCTTCAGGAGAGGTCAGTGGGGATAAGGCTCCGTAGGAATACTGATCTTTGTAATTAATCATAAAATTTTAGAAAATTCTCTTTTTGAGAGTTAATGTATACAATTACTTTTTTCCAGAAATATTTATATCTTTATCAGCTGTGATATAAAAGCCAAGAAATTAAAGGTTAATAAATTGAACATTTAAAATGTGTTTATGCAGAGCTAAATATTATTACATGTGCTTTCTTATTTAAGTATGTACAAAGAAACTGGAATTGTTACTTTTACATCAATTTGTGGGTCTTGACAAATTAAACCCTAGGTCTTATTGATGGTATCTCTTCTGTGGGCTACCTAAGAAAAAGTTATCTTTTCATAATAGAAACTTACTTAGATTACAAAATTTAGATGATACAGAGGTGATTCTGTTTGATTTTAAGGTATTTTCGAACTCTTCATCTTGTGAACTGACAGGTTCTGGATCCTGGAACAACATGCTGACACTGGGTGAGGTGGTCAAAAATTTTTCTGTTTCCTCCTACCTCCTTCTGCCCATTTTTTTCCTACATTTAAAAAATACGAAAGGAAAACACTGATTTGGATTGGGATGAGAACAAAGACATTCTTTTTACTGTTCTAAAAAGCAAGTAGGTTTTCTTCAGAAGTGTTGTCTTTGAATTTACTGTTGTTTTTTGTTTGTATTATATCAGTGTCCTTAAGGTGACTTAGATCAAGGTCATATTAAAAAGGTTCATTCATTAAAAAAAAAAAAAAAAAAGCAAAAACATTTCCTGAGAACTCACTCTGTGCCAGGCGCTGTACTAAGTTATCAAGAATAACAAAATAGCTGGGTGAGGTGGCTCATGCCTGTAATCCCCGCACTTTGGGAGCCCGAGGTCAGGAGTTTTGTGACCAGCCTGGGCAACATGGTAAAACCCCGTCTCTACTAAACATACAAAAATTAGCCATGTGTGGTGGTGTGCGTAGTCCCAGCTACTCGGGAGGCTGAGGCAGGAGAATTGCTTGAGGTTGCAGTGAGCCAAGGTTGCACCACTGTACTCCAGCTTGGGCAACACAGCAAGACTCCTTCTAAAAAAAAGGGAAAAAGAAAGGATAACAAAATAATAAATAAAACCTTATTCCTGTCCTGTAGGAGCTAATCGTCTAGTTAGTTGGGGAGCAGCCTTAGGTTCCCAGTTACCACAGTGTTATAGACTAGGGACCTCCATGTTATCCTGAGATCCTGAAGTTGAATTGTAGTTATCATATATATGCACTATACAAAATGCTATAGTGGGGAAAAGTAGGAAGAAGCCAGAATCCTGCAAAAATAGTTGTGATGTCTGCCACTCAGGTAGGCTTGTAAAGTTGGAGGGGAAGGAAGGTAGGGAAAATGAGCTTGGAGAAGTTATACGTTTAAAATTCAAAAGTGGAAGAAGTTAACAAAATGATAAAAGCCCTGGAGTTGTGCTTTTCAAACTTTTAAAAAAAATACCTCTGGGCATAGAGAAAAGCAAAAGAGAATTAATACTCCTGTGTCTGAGAAGCTAGTTCCTAAAAACTTGGAAGAAAAGTGATATTTCTTTGAGGCCTTTAATTTCATTTAAAAAGTTAATATAAATTGAATTTTATATCGGTTTGGAATATTTGTTTAGAATTGTTTACCATTAAAATTAACATATGTGAGGGCTGGTAGATTTATCTTGTGCCTTAGATGCTGGCACTGCTGTGTTTCTATGGGTTTGTGTAGTCTAGTCAGTGCAGCATAGGTATTCCTAGGGCAGGTTTCTTGTGTAGAGAGGTGTACAGTCTCTTACCTGCAACCCCTGGGAGCCAGATATGTTTGGGAATTCAGAATTTTTCATATTTTAGGTGAAAAATATGAATATGGCTGGTTTTAATTTGAACAATTTACTCAAATTGATTAGATTACAGAGAGTTAGGATCTGAGTTCTTTATGGCCTCTTAACAGTCCCATCAAGAAAAATAAGCAAAACCTGCCAGTGAATTCTGTTAATTATATTTCTGAGATCAAAGACAAACTAAGCCTTATTGCTTTCCTTTAACTTCGACAAATTTTGTGCTAGACGCCTGTGCTATTAATAGAAATTGAAAAACAAGATGTTTATTTGGCTCTGTGATGTAGGTTGCTCACGGATTTTTTTCTTTCCTTCTGCAGACTTTCAGGTGATTTTTCATTTCACAATTACAAATGCATTTTTTAAATAGGTAATAAATCTCCTAATGGAATAAGTGACTATCCAAAGATCAGAGTGACAGTAACCCGAGATCAGCCACGCAGAGTCCTGCCTTCCTTGGGGTAAGTGTTAAATACTTTCTGTAAATGGAAACTTAGCACTTATTAGGTGCTCACTCTTACTAGGCATTCTCAATTTTGTTCTGTCATGTAGTCTTGCTAAGTACTCTGAGGTTAGTAACTTGCTGAATGTCATGCAGCCAGTTAGAGACTTGAACTTGAGTGTGTGTGGTGGTTTTTTTTTGGTGTGTGTGTGTGTGTGAGATGGAGTTTTGCTCTGTCACCCAGCTAGAGTGCAGTGGTGTGAGTGATTTTGGCTCACTGCAACGTCTGCCTCCCGGGTTCAAGCAATTCTGCCTCAGTCTCCTGGGTAGTTGGGATTACAGGCACCCCCCACCATGCCTGGCTAATTTTTGTATTTTTAATAGAGATGGGGTTTCACCCTGTTGGCCAGGCTGGTCTCAAACTCCTGACCTCAAGTGATCTGCCCGCCTTGGCCTCCCAAAGTGCTGAGATTACAGGCGTGAGCCACTGCACCTGGCTTTACATTTTCTACTGTATTATATACCCATAGCATCTGATCTTGAAAACCGTTTTAGAAGGAATTGTGACTTACTTTATTCTCAACTTAAAAATAAAATTATGTGTACAAAATGCTGGAATTGTAAGTGTACATTGCCTGGTTAATTTTCATACACTGGTCACATCTATCAATTCTGTGAAATATTATTATTAATAGTTTTCTTTCCTCCTTTTTCTGTATTCTTTCTAGAACTTTTATTGCTTGGACATTCATTAGACCTTCTGAATTGATCTAATTTTCCCATATATTTTCTTCTTTTGTTGTTCTTGCTTTTTTTTTTTTTTGAGACAGGGTCTCAATCTGTCACCCACGCTGGAATGCAGTGGGCCAATCTTGGCCCTCGGCTCACTGCAGCCTCTGTCTCCTGGGTTCAAGAAATTCTCCCACCTCAGCTTTTCATAGCTGGGATTACAGGGGTGTGTCACCATGCCCAGCTTTTTTTGCATTTTAGTAGAGACAAGGTTTTGCCATGTTGGCCAGGCTGGTTTTGAACTCCTAACCTCAGGTGATCCACCCACCTTGGCCTTCCAAAGTGCTGGGATTACAGGCATGAGCCACCGCACTTGGCCTTCTTGCTCTTTTTAAAAACATTTTTCACGGCTGGGCGCGGTGGCTCACGCCTGTAATCCCAGCACTTTGGGAGGTGGAGGCAGGCGGATCACAAGGTCAAGAGATTGAGACCATTCTGGCCAACATGGTGAAACCCTGTCTCTACTAAAAATACAAAAAAAATTAGCTGGGCGTGGTGGCGTGCACCTGTAGTCCCAGCTACTCGGGAGGCTGAGGCAGGAGAATTGCTTGAACCTGGGAAGCAGAGGTTGCAGTGAGCCGAGATCAGGCCACTGCACTACAGCCTGGTGCCTGGCAACAGAGCGAGACTCTGTCTCCAAAATAAATAAATAAATAAATAAATAAATAAATAAAAACATTTTTTACTAATTCTTTTTTGACTGTCAGTTTTTAATTTAGAAGAGTTCTTCCCACTGCCTATTCCCAATTTTTTTTCTTTCTCCAAGCATCTTTTTCTTATATGGATGCAATATCTTTCCTTATCTCTCTAAAGCTGTTTATTATTTTATAATATGTTTTGAGTGCTCCGTTCCGCTTTGTGCCCTCTCCCTCTATGTTTGTTTATTTCGGTTTTATCTTTCAGGTTAGAGTCTTGATGCAAATACTTGGTACGCCTTGGCTATCCACTTATGCTTAAGAATGAGACACTAAAAAATAGTGCCCTCTGGAGTTGAATAAATGGCTGATAATAGGGCTAGAGGGAAAGTATAAAATGAGTCTGAACATCTATCTTGTACCAGAAAGTAAAGGAGTGTTCAAAAACGGGCATGCCAGCCTGACACAGGATGAGATTTTAAAGGCGCTTTCACTGTCCAGATGGGATAATTTAAACATCAAAATGAATAAAGTTAGGGGCTCAGATATTAATAAATAAATATATAGTGTCGGGGAGGGAAAGATCTTTATAGTAGAATGCCAACTAATAAGTGTGAAAGGACTGATAGAATTACAAAATCACCATTTTGTAACTGTCATGGTAATAACTGATATGGGCAAGAATCATCAATTGAGCCAAAACTAGTAAATGAAAATGTGCAGCCTGGCCAACATGGTGAAACCCCATCTCTACTAAAAATACAAAAATTAGCCATGTGTGGTGTCACGTGCCTGTAATCTCAGCCACTTAGAAGGCTGAGGCAATAGAGTCCCTTCAAGCTGGAGGCAGAGGTTGCAGTAAACTGAGATCGCGCCACTGTACTCCAGCCTGGGCGACAGAATGAGACTGTCTCAAAAAAAAAAAAGTTTGATGAGGTACTAATTTGATGAGTTTACATAAACTCAAAGTATCTCCCCACACATTACTTTTTTTTTTTTTTTTTTGCAGGGACTGTGGGCGTGCACAACCACGCCCAGCTAATTTTATATTTTTAGTAGAGACAGGGTTTCACTGTGTTGGCCAGCCTGGTCTCGAGCTCCTGACCTCAGGTGATCCACCTGCCTTGGCCTCCCAGAGTGCTGGGATTACAAGCGTGAGCCACCCTGCCTGGCCCACATCACTTATTAATCACAAAGGGAAAAATAAAGTGGAGAAACACAATTGATACCACCTTAACCAAGGGATCAAAGCTAAATTGCCAGCACTGGACAAACTGACATTATGGTTTCCAAATGTATTGCACTGAGAAAGACATCATCACTAAATGTAGCATTCCTGCAAAAACGATTGGCTGTAATCATGAGAAAGCTGATTAAACTGAAATTAACATTCATTCTAGAAAATAATAGGCCTGTATTCTTCATTAAAAAGATAAAGAAAAGCTGAAAAATTGTTTCAGACTGAAGGAGATCAAACATATAACATAGTAACTAAATGCATGCAATGTGAGATCCTGGATTAGATTTTAGGTGGGACAAAATTGCTGTGAAGATTATTTTTTAATAGCTTTAGAGATATTTGAATCTGGACTACATGTTACAATGTACTATTGCCAAAAGTTCCTAAATTTGGTGATTATATTGTGATTATATATATAGTTATATATATATAGTTAGAGATAAACTTATTTGCTAAGCATTTAATGCTGTTTCCCTGTAAGCACTGCTTAGATGCTTTGTCCACATTTTGAAATGTTGGGTTTTCATTTTCATTAAATGTAAAATATTTTCTAGGCCAGGCGCAGTGGCTCACACTTATAATCCCAGCACTTTGGGAGGCCAAGGTAGGCAGATCACTTGAGGTCAGGAGATTGAGACCAGCCTGGCCAACATGGTGAAACCCCCATCTTCACTAAAATACAAAAATTAGCTGGCTGTGCTGGGACATGCCTGTTATCCCAGCTACTTGAGAGGCTGAGGCAGAACAATCACTTGAACCCAGAAGGCAGAGGTTGCAGTGAGCCGAGATCAGGCCACTGTACTCCAGCCTGGGCAACACAGTGCGATCCATCTCAAAATAATAATAATAATAATACAATAAAATAAATAAGTAAATAAAAATATTTTCCAGTTTCTGTTTTACTTCCTCTTTGACTTGTAATTTAGAAAGATAGAAATATGTTGTTTAATTTCCAAATATTGGGACTTTGCAGATATCTTTCTGTTATTGATTTCTAGTTTACTTCTATTATGGTTAGAGAATATGCTTTGTTGTTTTTCCGTCTGGCAACAGCCATCAGATAACCCAAGATGGGTGCATACAAGCACATCCAGGAGCTATGGAGAAAGAAGCAGTCTGATGTAATGCATTTCTTCTGAGGGTCCCCGCCCCACCCGGCCTGATAAATCACACCAACTGGGCTACAAGGCTAAGCAAGGTTATGTTATGTATAGGATTCGCGTTTGCTGTGGTGGCCGAAAACACTCACTTCCTAGGGGTGCAACTTACAGCAAGCCTGTCCATCATGGTATAAACCAGCTAAAGTTTGCTCGAAGCCTTCTGTCTGTTGCAGAGGAGTGAGCTGGATGCCACTATGGGGCTTTAAGAGGCCTGAATTCTTACTGGGTTGGTGAAGATTCCACATACAGATTTTTTGAGGTTATTCTCATTGATCCATTCCATAAAGCTATCAGAAAAAATCCTGACACCCAATGGATCACCAAACCAGTCCACAAGCACAGGGAGATGCATGGGCTGACATCTGCAGGCCCAAAGAGTCGTGGCCTTGAAAAGGGCCTTAAGTTTCACCACACTATTGGTGGTTCTCGCCAGGTAGCTTGGAGAAGGCGCAGTACTCTCCAGCTCCACCGCTACTGCTAATAAAAGTAAAGTTTGTAAAATTCATACCTAATAAACAATTTAAGACAGTGAAAAGAAAAAAAGTGAGAATATGCTTTGCATGATTTCATTTCTTTTCATTTTGTTAATATTTGTTTTATGGCCTAGAGTGTGACCAGTTGGATGATGGTCCATGTGCACTTGAGTGTATTCTGCTATTGTTGGGTAGAATGACCTAAATGTCAGGTCAGGTTGGTTGATAATGTTTTACAGGTGTTAGTGATTTTTCTGTTGACTTTTTTATTGATCAATGGATGAGGAATTGAGTTTTCTACCATAATTATGGCTTTGTCTATTTCTCCTTCAGCTTAGTTAATTTTTGCTCCATGTTATTTGGCTTATATATTTTGAAGCTCTATCAGGTGAATAACCTGACCTAGATTCACCAGTTGTCATTCTGCTACATTTGCTTTTTCATTCTCTCTCATACATACATACTGACATACATACTGTTTTGAACCATTTGGGAGTCTTTGATTCATGCCCCTTTAATCCTAAATATTTGAGTCTGTTTCTTTCTTTCTTTCTTTTTTTTTTTTTTTTTTTTTGAGACGGAGTCTCTCTTTGTCACCAGGCTGGAGTGCAGTGTCACAATCTCAGTTCACTGCAGCCTCCCCCTCCTGGATTCAAGCGACTCCTGCCTCAGCCTCCCGAGTAGCTAGGACTACAGGTGCATGCCACCACGTCCAGCTAATTTTTGTATTTTTAGTAGGGATGGGGTTTCACCATGTTGACCAGGCTGATCTTGAACTCCTGATCTGGTGATCCACCCACTTTAGACTCCTAAGGTGCTGTAATTACCGGCTTGAGCCACTGCACCTGGTCAAGTCTCTTTTTTTCTTTCCTTTTTTTTTCTTTTTTCTGAGACGGGGGGTCTCGCTCTGTCACCCTGGTTGGAGTGCAGTGGCCCGATCTCGGCTCATTGCAACCTCCACCTCCGGGTTGCAAGTGATTCTCCTGCCTCAGCCTCCTGCGTAGCTGGGACTACAGGCGCCTGCCAGCATGCCTGGCTAATTTTTTGTATTTTTAGTAAAGATGCGGTTAGCCAGGATGGTCTCGATCTGTTGACCTCATGATGTGCCCACCTTGGCCTCCCAAAGTGCTGGGTTACAGGCTGAGCCACAGCACCTGGCCTATTTCTTAAGAATGAGGGCATTCACTTACATGCTTATAGATTACCAATATCAGGAAAATTAACATTGATACAATGCTATTATATAATCTACAGGTCTTATTTAAATTTCTCTCGTACAGCTTTTTCTTTTTCCTGATACAGGATCCAGTGTAGGATTGTGTATTGTGCATAGTTTTCATGTATTTTTTTTTTTTTTGAGACGGAGTTTCACTCTTGTTACCCAGGCTGGAGTGCCATGGCACGATCTCGGCTCACCGCAACCTCCGCCTCCTGGGTTCAGGCAATTCTCCTGCCTCAGCCTCCTGAGTAGCTGGGATTACAGGCACGCGCCACCATGCCCAGCTAATTTTTGTTTTTTAGTAGAGACGGGGATTGACCATGTTGATCAGGATGGTCTCGATCTCTTGACCTCGTGATCCGCCCGCCTCAGCCTCCCAAAGTGCTGGGATTACAGGCTGAGCCACCGCACCCGGCCAGTTTTCATGTATTTTTGATCTACTTTATTCTGCAACTACTCCTTGCCCTTTCTTTGTGTTCAGTGACATTAATATTTTAATTTTGTTTGATATTTACTGATGATTTGTTTCAGATTATGACTTTTTTTTTTTTTTTTTAGAAATACCACATTAGTGGTATTCATTTCAAAAGCATCCCTCAAGGAAGGAGGTGGGTGCTGTCAGTTTGTCACATTGTTGGTAATGGCAGGAAAGGCAGATTTTGTCACCAGCAACTGTGACTGGGTAGGAACTCCAGGCTTCAGTTCCTTTAGCATTTATTAATTTAGCATTCAGCAGATATTTATTGAGTGCCTTTTTGGCGTAGACCCTGTACTAAGATATAGTGGTGAAAGATGTAATGTCTTTTCATGGAATTTAAAGTTTAGTGTGGAGTATAGACGTTAAGCAAATAATCACACCAATAATTAATTTCAGTGGTTCCAAGTGACTAAAGGAAAAATGAGGTATCAGAAGGGGTATGTGCAGTAGGGGAGCTGAATCTAGAGTTGGGGTTGGAAATGGGCATGAAGAGGAAGGCAGAGGCTTTCTTTGTGTGGCTGCTCTAGTGATTAGAAACAGACATTCCATAGTGGAATGCTGGGTGCCATGTGCTGCAGAGATAGATCTAACTCTTGCACAATTATAGTTGTCTGACTTGCCAGGAGCAAGCGTGACCTAAGGCAACCTAATCTCAGGATGGTCTGGGAGCTTAGATTCTAGCAATTTAAGCAGCTTGGTGATGAGCTTTTTCTTTTTTTCCGTTGCTCAGTTTTACTTTGAATTCAGAAGGCTATAATAGAAGACCAGGTGGCCGTCGCCATAGCAAAGGTAATCCAGAGAGTTCTTTTATGTGGAAACCTCAGGAACCTACTGTAACAGAGATGATTTCTGAAGAGAGTGGCAAGGGTCTGAGGCGTCCCCATTGTACTGTGGAGGAGGTAAGCCTTTTTAGCTTGATTTCTTTAAAACAATATTTTACAGCTCTTCCTAACCAACTCCGAATGCTTCAACGTTTGACATATCACTGCAGGTTTTCCTATAATAGAGCCTCTAACAAAATGAGGCTGTCTCAAACCCAGATGCACCAAAAATCTGCATGTGGCGTCTGCCCAGGCAGACTTTGAGGGGTTCATGCTATGAGACCTAAAGTTCTTATGAGATTGTCCAGAACACATTAGCAGGGCCTGTAGTGGCCATGTGTGCCACATGTGTTCGTGACAGGATCAAGCATGTTGCTTATCAAGGAGCAGAAAATTGTTGTGAAAGTGTTGAAGGCACAGACACAGAGTCAGACAGCTAAATTTAAAAATGAAACTTTTAGCCCGGCGCGGTGGCTCACGCCTATAATCCCAGCACTTTGGGAGGCTGAGGCGGGTGAATCATGAGGTCAAGAGATTGAGACCATCCTGGTCAACAAGGTGAAACCCCGTCTCTACTAAAAATACAAAAATTAGCTGGGCATGGTGGTGTGTGCCTGTAGTCCCAGCTACTCGGGAGACTGAGGCAGGAGAATTGCCTGAACCCAGGAGGCGGAGGTTGCCATGAGCTGAGATCATGCCATTGCACTCCAGTCTGGGTAACAACAGCGAAACTCCGTCTCAAAAAAAAAAAAAAGAAACTTTTTTGAGTAATAAAAATCATAAGACTAAAAAGAATTTCTAATGAATATTTTTGGGAACAAGTAATATATCGATTATGTTATATATTTCTTTTTTGCTTTTTTTTTTGAGATGAAGTGAGACTCGGGAGTGCACCCATGTTGGAGTGCAGTGCAGAGTCTTGGCTCACTGCAACCTCTGCCTCCCATGTTCAAGCATATGTTATATATTTCAAAAGGTACCAAAGTATGTACAGTGACTAAGTTTCCCAGACTCTCTTCCATACCTGGCTTCCATCACCATGTTTACTACTTAGCAAGTAACCTCTGATACCTGTATGTATCCTACAGATATTCAATATAGATATAATTTAGTCAATATTTAGATGTACTTATTTTTTTTCTCATCTGTCTGTCACCTGAAAATGTAGTTATTTTTATCATAAGAAAGAAAAAGGAGTCATATTAGGAAGAGATAAGATTAGTAGGGTTTTTGTTTGTTTGTTTGTTTTTTGAGATGGAGTTTTGCTCTTGTTACCCAGGCTGGAGTGCAATGGCGTGATCTCGGCTCACCACAACCTCCGCCTCCTGGGTTCAAGCAATTCTCCTTCCTCAGCCTCCCGAGTAGCTGGGATTACAGGCACGCACCACCATACCCAGCTAATTTTTTGTATTTTTGGTAGAGATGGGGTTTCACCATGTTGACCAGGATGGTCTTGAGCTCTTGACCTCGTGATCCACCTGCCTCGGCCTCCCAAAGTGCTGGGATTACAGGCTTGAGCCACCGCGCCTGGCTTTTGTTTGTTTTTGAGACAGGGTTTTGCTCTTGTTGCCCAGGCTGGAATGCAATGGCGTGATCTTGGCTCACTGCAGCCTCCACCCACCAGGTTCAAGCGATTCTCCTGCCTCAGCCCCCGTAGTAGCTGGGATTACAGGCATGCACCATCACTCCTGGCTAATTTTGTATTTTTAGTAGAGACAGGTTTTCTTCATATTGGTCAGGCTGGTCTTGAACTCCTGACCTCAGGTGATCCACCTGCCTCAGCCTCTCAGAGTGCTGGGATTACAGGCATGAGCCACCACACCCAGCCAAGGTTTGATTCTTTTTGGCTACCTAAATTAGTCTAACTTGCTTTTTAAAAACAATTTTACCAAGTTATTTTTTTATATGGAGAGATGGGGTCTCGCTATGTTGCCCAGGCTGGTTTCAAACTCTGGGCTCAAGCAATCCTCTGGCCTCGGCCTCCCAAACTGCTGGGATTACAGGTGTGAGCCACTCCACCCAGCCCTAACTTGTTTCTTTTTACAGACTTTAATAACTGACTAAGGAAGGGAAGTAAATGGTGTGCATCTCTGCTTTTTCCTTCACATTTCAGAGCACTCAGCATGATGAAGAGTCAATCTTTTCACTTTCTTTTTGAGTATTTCCTTTATTCCAGGAAAATTTAGAATTATTCCTATATCTGGCACTCCCCAGGACCATTAGCTATTTCAGTTTGCTAACTAGTTTTCTGAGCCACATGTTTAATTTAATTCATCAGAGAAATACTTATTTGGGTCCCAGGTACTGTGCTAGTTGTCAGCAATTCAAGATTAAATGAAATGCGGTTCCTGCCCTCTAGGAGCTTATACATAAATAGTTGCTATTCGATAAGCAGGCAGAGAGAGGAATGGACCGGAGCCCTGAAAGGGGTTTTAAGGTAAGGTGTGAAAGATTTCAGTCTCTTCGATGAGAAATCAGAAATAAGACTAAGCAGATATCTACAGGGGAATATGTAGAAAATACACCTAGAAATATTGGTAGGTAGTATTAGCAAGGACGTGTCTGTTGATTAAGTGTAATATAAAGTAGAGAGGAGAGTGTGAGTCCCAGATTTCAGTTTTGGGAATCGCTCTGTGTCACCAAGATAACCCTATGTTCACAGGGAGGATGATGACTCCAGTTTTGGATATTGTTTAAACTCCCTGTGAAACCCACAAGAAAACCTTTCCTGGAGGGTGGATATAGGTGATGAGAATTTTGAGGAGGAGACACATTTCTGAATCTTTAACCTACTGGTGTTATTTAAATCAAGGGAACTGATGAGATTATTCAGGGAAGGAGTGTAGTGCAAGAAGAGACACAGGCAAAACCACTAGTATAATATAGGTAGAAGGAATAATCTGCAGTGGAGACAGAAAAAAATAATCAGAAGAGCTTATTGTCTAGGAAGGCAAGGCAGGTCAGCATGGTGAAATGCTGAAGAGAGATCAAGTAACTTAAGGGCTGAAAAAGTGTCTTGAATGTGGCCATAGATGGTTGCTGGTGATGTTGGTGAGGCCAGTTCACTTTGGAAGCTATATACTCTTGGTATGCAAGCAGATGATTTCTGCTGAGGTTTTTTTGTAGTTAACTTAATTCTATTCAATCCAGTTCTGTCAAAAACCTAGATGCCATCAGAATCCAGCAGATAACATGAGTAAAGTGGGCTGGAGAGCAGTGGCCCATCTAAACGAGATAGCCCTACATAGCTATAGATTGTGGACTCAGTTTATCAAAGGAGGCCAGATTTTTTGATTTTTAAAAAGTGTATAAAGCTAGTAATTCAAAGAAATATTAGAGACACAGTGTTGGATAGAAAACACATCTACGGTCTACATTTTGTCTTTTAATTATAAGTTTAATATGCTGGTGCTTATCTAACATGCTTTCTTTTATTTAGGGTGTTCAAAAAGAGGAAAGAGAGAAGTACCGAAGGTTATTGGAACGGCTTAAAGAAAGTGGTCATGGAAACTCTGTCACATGTCCTGTGACTTCAAATTATCACAGGTGAACATGAGCTAACAGATAATGCTTTGCTAGACAACTTTTTGTTTGTTTTGGAGAAGGTATTGGTGGGAAGGGTCTTATTTGAAAGAAGAAGTTAACCCTGAGAGAACTAGCCCTGTCATTTGCCTTGATATCGATTATCTAGTAATGGGTAATATGTAACAGAGGTTTTGCAAAGTAAAATTTTTTGTTACCTTTAGGACCCTTTGTTCAAGTAAACTTTTACTTGAAACTCTTACATAACAAAGTGGCTCACTGGTTGGGGTAGGGCTATCAGGAGGCAGAGTTTCTTCAACCTCCTCAGCATACGTTTCCCATAGTCTCACTCTCTACCTCCTTCCCCACCCCCTCCTGCCCATCTCTCCATCTCCCCCATCTCCCTTCCTTCCTTCCTTTCTCCTTCATCTTCTTATGGTCTCTTTGTCTTTTTTCCTTTCCCCTTCCTCACCGCCACCCCATGAGACACATCTAGTCCCTGCAGCATCATAGAGATTGAATCTTAGCACATTTGGAAATCCGCTAGAGACAAGATTAAAGTCTCCCAGGTCATAAGAATTATCCTTATAATACGACTTGTTAATTAAATACTCTAATGATTTGAGCAAATATTAATAGATGAGAGTGGCAGAAAGAAGTGATAGCTGGCCTTGTATTTGTCTGTGAAAGGAGGACAAAAAGTCTGTGAGCTCAGAATTGAGGTACACTAGGTCATTCTAACAAGTGGAATGAAAATACGCAAGGATCCCAGAAATTATATAATAGCAAATTGAAGGTTAAAAAGTCACAATACTATTTAACTTTTAATTTTTGAGATGGAGTTTCACTCTTGTTGCCCAGAATGGAGTGCAATGGCACAATCTTGGCTCACTGCAACCTCTACCTCCCAGGTACAAGCAGTTCTCCTGCCTCAGCCTCCCAAGTAGCTGGGATTACAGGCATCCACCACCATGCTCAGCTAATTTTTTGTATTTTTACTAGAGACATGGTTTCACCAGGCTGGTCTCGACCTCCTAACCTCAGGTAATCCACCCACCTTAGCATCCAAGAGTGCTGGGAGGATTATAGGTGTGAGCCACTGCACCCGGCCTGCTATCTAGCTTGTGAATGAAGAAATAACAGATTGAGAATCATTGGTTGTGAACTTTTAAAAAAATTCTTTTGGATTAGTCAGAATGTCAGTATTTTTCTGCATTTTGACAAGCCACATGTTGGAAGCAGCAGTATGTTTAATGAACTCTTGGCTTTGTCACATTGGTGAAACTCTCAAACTATTTTTGCTTTTTAAAGTTCCTGCTTTTGGCTGGGCGCAGTGGCTCACACCTGTAATCCCAGTGCTTTGGGAGGCCAAGTCAGGTAGATCACCTGAGGTTCAGGATTTGACTAATATGGTGAAACCCCATCTCTACTAAAAATACAAAAATTAGCCAAGTGTGGTGGCATGCGCCAGTAATCCTAGCTGTTCGGGAGGCTGAGGCAGGAGAGTCGCTTGAACCTGGAAGGTGGACGTTTCAGTGAGCGGAGATCACACCACTGCACTCCAGCCTGGGCAACAGAGCGAGACTCCGTCTCAAAAAAAATACCAAAACAAAGTTCCTGCTTGTAATGTATTGTTTCAGGTCCATTTAATCTGAGTTTTATCACACTGAGATTTTTCAGTTAAGGTGTCACTGAGGATTTAGAACCTCTGATTTTACAAATAGAGAAACTTGAAGATAGGTAACTTGGCTTAAATATTAGAATCAGGATTAGACTCCTTTTATTCTAGTCCCAGATATTTGCTTCCTTTCTGTCATAATTTGATATAATAGGGTAATCAATAACCCCTATTTGGAGAAGTCTGCTGGACAGAGATAATGCATATTATGGTAGACTTTGCTTTTGTATCTGATATGCCTCACTTTTTGTGTTTCTAAGTTCTCAAAGAAGTCAGATGGACACATTAAAGACCAAAGGCTGGGGGGAAGAGCAAAATCACGGAGTCAAAACAACACAATTTGTTCCAAAACAATGTGAGTTCCCAGATTTAGCCTTGTCTTAATATATTGACCTTAGTTCATGTTAGAGTGTTCATGTGAGGTAGAAAATGGTGTACCAAAATGCTGTCAAATCTCGCAGCATTTATGGTGGCTCATGCCTGTAATCCCAGCACTTTGGGAGGCCAAGACAGGTGGATCACCTGAGGTCAGGAGTTCGAGACCAGCCTGGCCAACATGGTGAAACCCCATCTCTACTAAAAATACAAAAATCAGCCAGGCCTGGTGGTGGGTGCCTGTAATCCCAGCTACCTAGGAGGCTGAGCAGGAGAATCGCCTGAACCTGGAAGGTGGAGATTGCAGTGAGCCGAGATCACTCCACTACACTCCAGCCTAGGTGACAGAGTGAAACTGTCTCAAAGAAAAAAAAAAAAAATCTCACAGCATTGACTGGGGGCTTATCTAGGAGTTTAGTAAAAAAATGGTTTCAAGGTGAAGTAGATTCATAAAATGGCTCTGAATTATTATTCCTAAGCTCCTATATAGTAGCAAATATTTTGTGAGCTGAAATTGAATTATATTCTTTATATATCAATTTCCTTATATTTCTCCACTGACAGTCCACTAAATGACAGCTTACCAAATGAGCAGATGTCACTCAGTTTATAGTAAAGATTATATTTAAAGAGCAAAGAGCTTGGCGCGGTGGCTCAAGCCTGTAATCCCAGCACTTTGGGAGGCTGAGGTGGGTGGATCACGAGGTCAAGAGATCGAGACCATCCTGGTCAACATGGTGAAACCCCATCTCTATTAAAAATACAAAAATTAGCTGGGCATGGTGGTGCGCGCCTGTAATCCAAGCTACTCGGGAGGCTGAGGCAGAATTGCTTGAACCCAGAAGGCAGAGGTTGTGGTGAGCCGAGATTGTGCCATTGCACTCCAGCCTGGGTAACAACAGCGAAACTCCATCTCAAAAAAAAAAAAAAAAGAGCAAAGAGATATAGGCATTTTTTTAGGCAACTTAGTTTATAGGGAGTCTAGTATCTTTGGAATTCACTGTAGCATTTCATTGTTGAAGAATTGCCTTGATATTGTGGAAACTCAGTAAGCTGAAATTCTAACTATATTATTCACTAATGAAGGAAATATTTAATCTTTTCTTTACCATCCTCACAGATAGACTTGTTGAAACAAGGGGACCTCTGTGTTCATTGAGAAGTGAAAAGAGGTACATTCAGTTCATTCTACACTTTAATATATATTTTCTTTATCAGCTGTATTTGTGAGTAAGTGGTTCTTTGGAATTGTGAACTCTTTTCATTTCTGGTAGTTGGTCAGCATATATGAGTAGATAGGTAGCTAGCTCTTGGGTCAGATGTCCACGCTACCTTGGTGGGTTGGGGGGTGCCCTTTATCTCCCAGGCATCAGGGTTGGGAGAATCGCATGATTCTTAGATAGGAGTGTGGGTCTAGTGGAGATATCTAGAGGTCTGTGTCTTTAGGATAAGAACAATAAAGGCAGTTCAGCATACCTTAGGATTTTTGGATGATGGTTTATGGCAGAGTTTGTAAATTATGGCCTATAGGCCAAATCTGGTCTGCTTGCCTATTTTTGTATAGTACGTTTCTGTTGAAGTGTGCACATTCATTTACATACTGTCTATGGCTGCTTTTAAATTACAGTGGTAGAGTTGCCACGATATGCCCAAGACCATAAAACCTGCAAAGCCTAAAATACTGTCTGTGCTTTTTCAGAAAAGTTTGTTGGCTCTTGATTTAGAATATTATATAAAAAGGCAATTTTTATTTGCAGATTATGAAATCTTATTTCTAAAACTAGGATGTGCTAGGTTTGAGTCATCTAGCAGAAATCTATCATCTCTCAATTATTTTCCTTAGGTGTACAAAGGGGAAAATTTCTGATACAGAAAAGATGGTTGGACTCAGATTTGAAAATGAAAGTGTAAGTAAAAATCCTAGTTAAATCTAATATCCATAGGCCAGGTGCATGGCTCACTCCTGTAATCCCAACACTTTGGGAGTCCAAAGCGGGACATTATCTGAGGTCGGGAGTTTGAGACCAGCCTGACCAACATGTAGAAACCCTGTCTCTACTAAAAATAAAAAAATTATCCAGGCATGCCTGTGGCACATGCCTGTAATTCCAGCTACTCGGGAGGCTGAGGCAGGAGAATCGCTTGAACCCAGGAGGTGGAGGTTGCAGTGAGCCGAGAATCTGCCATTGCACTCCAGCCTGGGCAACAAGAGTGAAACTCCGTCTCAAGAAAAAAAAAAATTTTGATACCCATTTACTTACATAACTTATGTTTTGGTACCAATGAAAAAGAAGAAAAATTATATATATATTACTTAGATTGTTACTTCTGTTGTTTTCTTTAAGAAAGCAGCAAGCCAGCCAGGCACAGTGGCTCATGCCTGTAATCCCAGAACTTTGGGAGGCCAAGGCAGGAGGATCTTGAGCCCAGGAGTTTGAGACCAGCCTGGGCAACATAGTGAGACTGTCTCCACAAAAAATTTAAAAATTAGCCAGGCATGGTGACACATCTGTAGTCTCAGCTACCTGGGAAGCTAAGACAGGAGGATTGCTTGAGCCCAGGAGGTCAAGGCTGCAGTGAGCTGTGATCACACCACTGCACTCCAGCTTGAGTGACAGAACGAGACTCTGTCTCTTTAAAAAAAAAAAGGCAAGTATTGAAAATATACAACCTTTTTCTTCTTTCTGAGTTGTTGGAGTTTTGCCTCTGTACAGTAGCCACCTTTGTTTATGAAAGATGAACCTATCTCCATACCAACACTTTACCTACATTTTATGGCTTTTTATGGAGAATTTCTTAAAAATCATACATCTCTGATAATGCTTTAGGGTGCTGGCAGAATTCTATTTGTTTATATAACCACAATGGTGGTTATATAGGTGTTCATTTTACAAAAATGAATTAAGTGGTACATTAATGTTTTGTGCATTTTCTATAATATAAAATGACTTTTTACAAGGATAAGCTAGAACCAAGTTTAGTTAGCATAAAGATAGGTATTTGTTCTGAGTGGTGGGATTGTGGGTCATATTTTTTGCTATTTAAAACTTTCATAATAATCTTTTAAACATACTATTTTTAATTGTGATAGGAGAACTGAAAATACTTTTTTTGCTCCTTCCAGGGAATGTGGCGAGTGTTCTGTTTCATGGTTTGTAACTGAGGTATCCTGTGAATCTTAGGTCTGGAGTTTTTTTGTTTCCCCTTGCAGGGACAGGCAGATATGATAAATCTACTCATTTGGGGGATTTGCTAATTCTCTTTTCTTTCATATTACTGACAGTTTTATATTTCATGTGTTATCTATGTTTATATTAGCAAGTATCAAACATGTCAGTAGAATGTAGATGCTTTTTTGATCAGAGGAGGGGATACCAGCTGGAGCCTGACCTATCAGAAGAAGTGTCAGCCCGACTCCGCCTGGGCAGTGGAAGCAATGGCTTACTCAGGAGGAAAGTGTCAATAATTGAGACAAAGGAAAAGAATTGCTCAGGCAAAGAGAGGGACAGAAGAACAGATGATCTCCTTGAACTTACAGAGGTATTGTTCTTTGTATTGATCCTAAAAAGAGGCATGTCTTTAAATAACCTCAGTACTTCTAAACTTGAATGTTTTGTTTTGAGGACTTTCTCCAGGCTAAGGATGAATATATGAAAACAAATCAGGCCCATGATCTATTTATGCACTTTGGCTACACTGATCATTAGTGAGGCATGATCGTTAGTGACCTAAGGGATCAAACTGATATTCAGCAAATGTGAGTCGACACAGTCATCACATATCTTGGAATTCAACAAATTCTTTGTAGATTCTAACCTTCAAATATGTTGAGTGAGTTATATAGCATAGGTTTGGAATTAGGAATAAGTCCACTGCATTTTTTAAAAAGTGATTATAGTTTACTAAGATGTCCCTTTTGTTGATTATTGCATCTGAAAATTGTAAAAATTTACAGAACATAAAGAATGAAGGTAGTTAAAATTCTTATTTTAAAGATGCACCCACATCTTGGCTTCCTCTACAGTAGGAATCTAGTAGGTGAATCTCTCTTGAATACTTACTATTATATTGGGCATGCAGGTGGAGAGAGAGATCCATAAAACAGTGAAACTGTGCAGTGGGAGGAAGCAGTGGTAAAAATATTTAGAGGAAAATAATTTTTTTTTTTTTTTTTTTTTTTTTGAGACAGAGTTTCGCTGTTGTTGCCCATGCTGGAGTGCAATGGCACGATCCTGGCTCACTGCAACCTCTGCCTCCTGGGTTCAAGCAAGTCTCCTGCCTCAGCCTCTGAGTATCTGGGACTACAAGCGCCCACCACCATGCCCAGCTAATTTTTTATTTTTAGTAGAGATGGGGTTTCACTATGTTGGTCAGGCAGGTCTCAAACTCCTGACCTCAGGTGATCCACCTGCCTCGGCCTCCCAAAGTGCCAGGATTACAGGCATGAGGCACCATGCCTGGCCTAGAGGGAAATAATTTGTAGTGGATTTATAGATCTAGTTTTGTGTCTTAAATAATGCATTTATCTGCATAATTCTTTTTTTTTGAGACAGAGTTTCACCCTGTCGTTGCTGAGGCTGGAGCGCAATGGCACAATCTCGGCTCACTGCAACCTTTGCCTCCTGGGTTCCAGCAATTCTCCTGCCTTAGCCTCCCGAGTAGCTGGGACTACAGGCACATGCCATCATACCTGGCTAATTTTTGTATTTTTCAGTAGAGACAGGTTTCATCATATTGGCCAAGCTGGTCTCAAACTCTTGACCTCGTGATCTGCCTGCCTCAGCCTCCCAAATTGCTGGGATTACAGGTGTAAGCCACCGTGCCTGGCCCACATTATTCCTTAGTATGATGAATCCATTTATTCCATAAAGAGTCAATTGCTAGACTGCTGCCTGGTTTCCAAGTTTCTGCCTGTTTGCTTATTCTCTTTCTGTCAAAAAGGATGGTATGACCCCTTAGATGTCCTAATCTTATTTTGATGTTTTAAACATTTAAAAGAGAGGCTGGGTGTGGTGGCTCGTGCCTGTAGTCCCAGCACTTTGGGAGGCCAATGCAGGCAGATCACTTGAGGTCAGGAGTTTGAGACTAGCCTGGCCAACATGGTGAAACCCTGACTTTACTGAAAATACAAAAAAATGGCCGGCATGGTGGCAACATGTCTAATCCCAGTTAATCAGGAGGCTGAGGCATGAAAATCGCTTGCATCTGGGAGGCAGGTTGTAGTGAGCTGAGATTTCCAGCCTGGGTGACAGAGTGAGACTCTGTATCAAAAACAAACAAAAAAAAGCTTAGAGTGGAAATCAGGGTTTTAGTATTATGAAAGGAGCAAAAGACAGTAAATCAGACACACCGGGGTCAAATCTTCATTCTACCTTTTAATAATTATATGACTTTTAATATGTAAAATAAATTCTCTGAGCTTCAATTTTCTCTTCTATAAAATGGTAGGATACCTTCCCAACAAGTAAGAATGTGCTTCAAGTATCTAACATCATGTTCGGCTTATAGTGCTTGATACCTGATAGTAGGATAATTGAGACCATACTTTAGATGTATATAATTATTATTATTGTTTCCACAAGCTACTAATTGAACCAGCATTTTTTGTAAATATTAGGAAGACTGCTTTGTAGTTATAAGTTAAAATATTTTCAGGGCTGGTGCAGTGGCTCATGCCTAGAATCCCAGCACTTTGGGAGGCCAGGGCGGGTTTTGCTTGAGCCTAGGAGTTTGTAGCCAACTTGGGCAATTAATCAGGCCCCATCTCTATTACTAAAAAATAAGGATAAATTGTTTTCATACTGTAGTTTAGTAGGTCTCTGATAGTATATTTTTCTCAAGAGTCAGGTGCTGCCGAAATGAAAAATTTTTTTTCAGCTCAGATTTTTCAATAGCTGATAATGTTTCTATATTAAAATAGTAACCTTTGGACTTTCTAATTCAGGACATGGAAAAGGAAATCAGTAATGCCTTAGGCCATGGCCCACAGGATGAAATCCTAAGTAGTGCTTTCAAATTGCGAATTACTCGAGGAGACATCCAGACATTAAAGAATTATCACTGGCTCAATGATGAAGTAAGTCGTATTCCCTCCCCCTTTTGGCCATCATGAAGTTTAACTATTTATTATCTATAATCACATTGATTCCTACCCAGTTATAGAGATTGGTAAAGCAACTTTTAGTTATAATTAAAACAAAGACATCTTTTTTTTTGGCAATAGAGTCTTGCTCTTTTGCCCAGGCTGGAGTGCAATGGCACGATCTCGGCTCATTGCAACCTCTACCTCCTGGGTTCAAGCAATTCTGCCTCAGCCTCCTGAGTAGCTGGGATTATAGGCATGCTCCATCATGCCCGGCTAATTTTTGTATTTTTAGTAGAGACGAGGTTTCACCACGCTGGCCAGGCTGGTCTCGAACCCCTGATCTCAGGTGATCCGCCCATCTCAGCCTCCCAAAGTGTTGGGATTACAGGCGTGAGCCACTGCGCCCAGCCAAAAAAGATATCTTAAATCTTAAAAAGATAGTGAAATCTGATTTTCTGCCTGGAATTGGTGATGTTTCCCTTTTGTGCATCTGTACTTTGTTGTATCCACCTCTTCATTTACTAGTCTCCAATAAACCCTGGGCACAGCTGATGAATAGGAGGAAGCAGCAAGTGGTATTATATTTTAGATGAATTCTTATAGTAGCTGTTTTATTTTTTGAGTAATAAAGGGATATGTTGATTATTATATACTATATGTATTTTTCTTTTTTCTTTTAAGATGGAGTTTTGCTCTTGTCGACCAGGCTAGAGTTCAATGGTGCGATTTCAGCTCACGGCAACTCCAGTTCTGGGTTCAAGTGATCCCCCTACCTCAGCCTCCTAAGTAGCTGGGATCACAGGCACCCACCTCCATGCCCAGCTAAGTTTTGTATTTTTAGTAGAGATGGGGTTTCACTATGTTGGCCAGGTTGGTCTCAAACTCCTGACCTCAGGTAATCCACCCACCTTGGCCTCCCAAAGTGCTGGGATTGCAGGCATGAGCCACCACGCCCAGCATACTTTGAGTATTTTTTTTTTTTTTTTTTTTTTTTTTTTTTTTTTTTTGAGATGGAGTTTCGCTCTTGTTACCCAGGCTGGAGCGCAATGGCGTGATCTCAGCTCACCGCAACCTCCGCCTCCTGGGTTCAGGCAATTCTCCTGCCTCAGCCTCCTGAGTAGCTGGGATTACAGGCACGTGCCACCATGCTCAGCTAATTTTTTTGTATATTTTAGTAGAGATGGGGTTTCACCATGTTTTTTTTTTTTTTTTGAGACGGAGTTTCGCGCTTGTTACCCAGGCTGGAGTGCAATGGTGCGATCTCGGCTCACTACAACCTCCGCCTCCTGGGTTCAGGCAATTCTCCTGCCTCAGCCTCCCGAGTAGCTGGGATTACAGGCACGCACCACCATGCCCAGCTAATTTTCTGTATATTTTTTTAGTAGAGACGGGGTTTCACTATGTTGACCAGGATGGTCTCGATCTCTTGACCTTGTGATCCACCCGCTTCAGTGTCCCAAAGTGCTGGGATTACAGGCTTGAGCCACCGTGCCCGGCCTTTTCTTTGAGTATTAACTGAAAAATTTTGCCTGACTTGTCTCTTGTATCCTTAATATATTTAGCAAAAGCTGGCTCTTAAGTTCTTCCTGACAATTTTCCGGTGGGTTTTTTCCCTAACTGCAGGCCCTGCATCTTCTCTCTTCATCTCCCTTCCTGTTTTCCTGTTTCCCCTATGACTAGTTACTTACAAACAGATTCATTGAAAACAGGAATGTTTTGTTTTACATGATAAATATAATTTGTTTATTGTAGAAAATTTGGAAAATACAGGAAAACTAAAAAAATGACTGTTCAAAAGTACCACCATTCAAAGATAAATAAAATGTTAATATTTTGGTGTATGTCCTTCCAGTTAATATTTTTAAACTGAAGTCTAATTTATATGCAGTAAAATTCACTTACTGTTCCTATTTCTGCATTTTTTTGGTGTGATACAGTTATGTAGATCTTTTCATTATTACACAGACTTTCTTCTTGAATTCCTTCTTCTGGCTATTAAGTGTTACTCACATGCCTTAAAAGTATGGTTTCAGCCAGGTGCAGTGGTTCACACCTGTAATCCCAGCACTTTGGGAGGCCAACAGGTGGATCACAAGGTCAGGAGTTTGAGACCAGCCTGGCCAATATAGTGAAACCCCATCTCTACTAAAAATACAAAAATTAGCCGGGCATGGTGGTGTGTACCTGTAGTCTCAGCTACTCAGGAGGCTGAGGCAGGAGAATCTCTTGAATCTGGGAGTCGGAGGTTGCAGTGAGCTGACAGCCTGGGCAACAGAGCGAGACTCTGTCTCAAAAAAAAGTACAGTTACATTCTTTTTTCATGTGTCCCATTTTGCACTGATGACTTTTTTTGCTGTCATTTTCTTTAGACAGTCCTTTTATCTCCCCCCCCCTTTTTTTTTGAGACCGTGGCACCTGCCACCATACCCTGCTAATTGTTGTATTTTTAGTAGAGATGGGGTTTCACCATGTTGGCCAGGCTGGTCTTGAACTCCTGACCTCAGGATATCTACCTGCTTCAGCCTCCCAAAGTGCTGGGATTACAGGCATGAGCCACCGCGCCCAGCCCTATCTCCTTCTTTAGAACCTTACCTTCAAATTTGTCCTTATTCAGGTAAAAATTTAGTTTTGATAATATATTTGTCATGTTCCAGCTTTCACTCCCTTGATATTTTGTAGGTCATTAATTTTTACCTGAATCTTCTGGTGGAAAGAAATAAAAAGCAAGGCTATCCAGCACTTCATGTATTCAGTACTTTCTTCTACCCTAAATTAAAGTCTGGGGGTTACCAAGCAGTGAAAAGATGGACCAAAGGGGTAAATCTCTTTGAACAAGAAATTATTCTGGTGCCTATTCATCGGAAGGTACATTGGAGCCTGGTGGTGAGTAGAGAAGGTTAATAGTTAATTGTTGGACTTTGGATAAAGACCATTTTTCAAAAAGAATGCTCCCCTTTTCTGCCCAGGGTATAAAGACCAGTAGTACATGTTATAAGCATACTCTACAGAGTCTCTTTTTAGTTTTTTTTTTTTTTTTTTTTCTTAATGCCCCCTCCTTCACCCAACCCTTTTTGGCTCTTTTATTTATTCTTTAAAAAATGTTTAATACTATTTTTTAAAATGAGAGACCAGGCCTTGCTCTGTTGCCCAGGTTGAAGTGAATTGGTGTGATCATAGCTCACTGTAGCCTGGAACTCCTGGACTCAAGTGGTCCTCCTGCCTTAGCCTCCTGAGTAACTAGGACTATAGGCATGGTCCACCATGCTTGGGTAATTTTATTTATTTATTTATTTATTTGGCAAGATGGAGTCTTGTATATTGCTCTGGTTGGTATCCAACTCCTGGCCTCAAGTGGTTCTCTTGCCTCAGCTTTCCATAGTGCTGGGATTACAGGCGTGAGCCACCATGCATAGCCTTTTTATTTTTTTATTTTTAGAGACAGAGTCTCATTCTGCCATCCAAGCTGGAGTGCAGTGGCACAACCATAGCTCACTGTAACCTCAGCCTCCTGGGAACAAATGATCTTACTTTGGCCTCCAGGTACCTGGGACTACAGACATGCACAAGTATGCCTAGTTAATTTTTTAGAATTTATTTTTTATTTTTTTGTGGAGATAGAGTCTCTAGTCTTGAGCTCCTGGCTTTAAGCAGTCCCCCCACCTCAGCCTCAGAATGATGGGTGAGCTACCGTACCTGGCCTCCTTTTTAGTTCTTGAGTTAACAACTTAGAAGGCAAGAAGATCAAGTCCTTGTACTTGAGGACCTTTCGTTTTTAACAGGAGAGTCTTAGTATACGTAAGGGTTATTATATTTATTTAGTTTTGTTTATAAGATAGTACAGGTTTATTGTAAAAAAAAAAAAATTGCAGATATAAAGCCAGGTGTGGTGGCTCATGCCTACAATCCCAGACTTTGGGAGGTCGAGGCAGGAAGGGTTGCTTGAGCCTAAGAGTTTGAGACCAGGCTGGGCAACATGGCAAGATCCTGTCTATATAAAAATTAAATAAATGGCCGGGCATGGTGGTACATACCTGTGTCCCAGCTACTTGGGAGGCTGAAGTGGAAGATCCCTTGAACCCAGGAGGTCGAGGCTGCAGTGAGCCGTGATCACACCACTGCACTCCAGCCTGGGTGACAGAGCGAGATCTTGTCTTAAAAGAAAAAGAAAAAAGAACGAGAAAGAAAAGAAAAGGAAAGGAAAGGAAAGGAAAAAGGAAAAAGGAAAGGAAAGGAAAAAGGAAAGGAAAGGAAAGGAAAAAGGAAAGGAAAGGAAAGGAAAGGAAAGGAAAGGAAAGGAAAGGAAAGGAAAAAGGAAAGGAAAAAGGAAAGGAAAGGAAAAAGGAAAAAGGAAAGGAAAGGAAAAGAAAAGAAAGATACAGATAAAAACAAACAACAAAAAGTCTCATCACTGAGAGGACCACTAATGTTTCAACTAAAAAATATACTTTTTACTAAAGTTATGTAAGATAAGTCTTTAAGAAATGTAATACATGTACCAATATAAATGGAGTTCTAGGTTACTTTTTAAGTGTAACTTAGAACTCCATTTATATTGGTACATGTATTGATTTTCTAAAAGATACTTTTATTTTTGGAAGTAAAATTCTCCTCTTACATTTAAGATATTTCTGGATGTTGTCTTTTTCCATCATAGGTGATAGACCTAAGAAAAAAGTGTCTTAAATATCTGGATTCCATGGGACAAAAGGGCCACAGGATCTGTGAGATTCTCCTGTAAGTAAATGTTGAAACCTTCGCTGTCGCCTCACTACCCCCGTTGAGGTGATCTCTCTTCCATCTCATCCTAGGAAGCTGTTTGGATGGTGGTCTAATGTATAGTTAAGGCTATTTCAGGGCTTAGCATGCATTTTATTTTTTTGTCTAAAAATAATAGCTGATTTCAACTGAGAAAATGTGTTTAGTACCATCACTGAAAACAAGTTTGTCATGTGTTATGAGGTAAAATAGATCTTACTGGAATTCTCTGATTTGAATTAGATTTCTTTGGTATTGATACATTATTTTGAATGTTCTAAGGAACTGTTAGTTGGGGAGTATTAGTCCTCTAAATTCTTTTTCTTTTTTTTTTGAGACAGAGTTTCGCTCTTGTTACCCAGGCTGGAGTGCAATGGCGCGATCTCAGCTCACTGCAACCCCCGCCTCCTGGGTTCAGGCAATTCTCCTGCCTCAGCCTCCTGAGTAGCTGGGATTACAGGCACGCACCACCATGCCCAGCTAATTTTTTGTATATTTTTTAGTAGAGACAGGTTTCACCATGTTGACCAGGATTGTCTCGATCTCTTGACCCTGTGATCCACCCGCCTCGGCCTCCCAAAGTGCTGGGATTACAGGCTTGAGCCACCGCGCCCAGCCTAGTCCTCTAAATTCTTAAGCCCACTCATGTCTTTATGCTTTCCATGAGAGTTGGGTTTATCTCAGAACTCAGAGGCAGTGTTTGAAGTGTGTGGTTTGTAGGTGATTGTTTTAAATAGTAATTGCTATAATAGAAACCTGTCTTTAAAGCTTAGCTACTTCTTAGCTATGTAAAGTAGTTACATGAAGTGAGAAAATGCATCAGTAAGATGGGTCCATTTTTCCTTTTCTGCTCACTAGAAGCAATGAAGTTCCTTCTTTTAACTTTAGTAAGGACAGATGAATCTTGTGAAGAAAAGTTATTAACAGTAATTCAATATTGTTTTAGTATAAAATATTATTTTTATTTATGGTTATCTTGAATAAAAAGTATAGAGAAGAAATTTCTAAAAATCATAAGATACACCAAATTGTTTATAAAATGATTATTCTCTTTTAGTCTTTTCTTTGTATGATATGTATAAATTGTACACACATACATTTGTGTTCACACATACACATATATTATCCCATGTGTAGAAATGTTCTTACTGGGATCATACAGTACAGTTTGATGTACTGCTTATGACAGGACTTGAAAATTCATACTTTTTTTTTTTTTTTTTTTTTAGTTGGAGTCTGTGTTGCCCAGTGCAGTGGCGCAATCTCGGCTCACTGCAACCTCTGCCTCCCAGGTTCAAGTGATACTCGTGCCTCAGCCTCTGGAGAAGCTGGGATTACAGGCACACGCCACCACACCTGGATAATTTTTGTATTTTTAGAAGAGACAGGGTTTCACCATGTTGGCCAGGCTGGCCTTGAACTCCTGACCTCAAGTGATCTGCCTGCCTTAGTCTCCCAAAGTGCTGGGATTACAGGCGTGGGCCACTGCCCCTGGCACATTCAGACATTTTTCTTAAGTTGAAATGTTCTGATGGTATCTGAGGCCTTGCTCCCTTTCTTGATGGTCCTAGTCCAGTTTTTCTCAACGTTTTTCCTTTTCGTTTTCACCCTTGCCCCAGAGTGAAAAATTCAATTAATTTAATTTCTCTATAACAAAAGAAAATAATATCAGGGAATAAGACTTCCTTGTTGAGTTGAGCTTTAGAGAGCTTTAAATCACTCTGAAGATTTTTGCCTCCCAAGAACCAGTTCTTACCACCTGGGGAGCAATATTGCACCATTGAGAATGTGTGCCATGGTTCAACGCTGGCTTATCTTACAAGCGGGTTAAGGATAAAAACCAAGACACTTAGGTTGTTAACCATGACAACTTTCTGGAGATGTGAATTTAATCACTTTAAATACTTTATATTACTCCAAGAATATAGAAATTTTTCTACATAACCACAATGTCATTATAACACTTAAGAATATTAACACTCAATAATATGTCATATATGGGCCATATTCTAATTTCTTCAGTTATTTTATATAGCCCACCTACTCCCAGTCCAGGAGCGGGTCAGGATTCATGCATGTTCTTTTTTTTTTTTTGAGACAGAGTCTCACTCTGTTGCCCAGGCTGGAGTGCAGTGGCCCAATCTCAGCTCACCACCACCTCCACCTCTACCTCATGGGTTCAAGTGATTATCGTGCCTTTCAAGTAGCTGAGATTAAAGATGCGCACCACCACGCTCAGCTAATTTTTGTATTTTTAGTAGAGACGGGTTTTGCAATGTTCACCAGGCTGGTCTTGAACTCCTGACCTCATGTGATCCACCTGCCTCAGCCTCCCAAAGTGTTGGGATTACAGGCGTGAGCCACCTCGCCAGCCTATGTGTGTTCTTAGTGTCTCTTTAGTCTCCTTTAATTTCGAAAAGTCTTCTTCCCTTTACTCTTTTTCATGGCAATAGCTTTATTTATTGAGTCCGGGCCAGTTTTCTTGTTTTATAGCTATGTTTCTTGTTGTATGTATCTTTCTTTCTTTAAGTGAGAAACAGCATGTTGAAAATGTTTTTAAAATCGTATGTGTGAGGGTGGGGTAGAGAACTAGAAGAATACATAGCAAACTTTTAATAGTAATTACTTTTGTAGTGATTATTACAGGGGTCTTTGGCTTTTTGTGTTATTTTTTAAGCTTAATTTTGGGTATGGGGCATCTAATGATTATCAACCTGATACATATTTCAACTTTTTAAAAACAAGCATGTACGATTTTTATAAGCAGACCTCCCCAAATTAAATTAAAAATTCTAAGAACACTCATGTTTTTATAAAAGGCTAATGAATATGGATTTGAGAATGACACATCTGTTTAACATCACACAGCCCTTTGTAACCATAATGGTTCATTTCTGTAGGGATTCATTGATGCATTCCTTCTTTCTTTTGCTTTTTAGTCAGTATTTACAGGATGAAAGTAAGACCAAAAGAAATATTGATCTGAATCTGTTAGAGTGGACCCATTACAGCATGAAACCACATGTGAGTGACAGTCATCTATCTTTGACATACTTTGTTGTGTTTACTAATAGTATATTATTCAATTTTGGCTCCCTTCCTGTCCTTCCTCCCTTCCTGCATTCTTTTAAAGTACACCTCTTTTCTTTCTTTTTTGTAGAGATGGGATCTTGCTTTGTTGTCCAGGCTGGTCTCAAACTCCTGGCCTCCCAAAACAAAGTGATGGGATTACAGGTGTCAGCCACCATGCCTGGCCAAAGTATACATCTTAAGAATGATCTGCTTCTAAATCTTTAGCAATTAATTTAACTAAAAATGGTTGCTTAGCTACATCTTCTTGCTGCAAATGTAAATGTTAACCATATGCTTGCATCTCTCTCACAGAATTGGGGAAAAAAAATAATAAATTCAAGTTGGCTAATTTCCCAGTTGGTGCTAATGAAAGTTTGAAGCTTTTTTCCAAAATTTATCTGGAAATTTGTTTATTTAGGTCTTAGGATCTAATGCCAAAAAAAAGCTTTTTTTTTTTTTTTTTTTTTTTTTTGAGATGGAGTCTTGTTCTGTCATCCATGCTAGTACAGTGGTGTAATCTTGGCTCACTGTAACCTCCGCCTCCAGGGTTCAAGCAATTCTCCTGCCTCAGCCTCCTGAGTAGCTGGGATTACAGGCGTGTGCCACCATGCCTGGCTAATTTTTGTATTTTTAGTAGAGAGGCGGTTTTACCACGTTGATCAGGCTGGTCTCCAACTCCTGACCTAATGATCCACCCGCCTCAGCCTCTCAAAGTGTTGGGATTACAGGCGTGAGCCACCGTGCCTAGACATATTTTAATTTCTAAACGGAAAAATCTTGGCCAGGAGCAGTGTGGTGGCAGGCACCTGTAGTCCCAGCTACTTGGGAGGCTGAAGCAGGAGAATCACTTAAACTTGGGAGGCAGAGGTTACAGTGAGCAGAGATCATGCCACTGCACTACAGCCTGGGTAAGAGTAAGGCTGTCTCAAAAAAGAAAAAAGTTTGAAGGATAAGCTTTGAAATTTCCTAAGGAGAGCACAGATAGAAGAAGAGTCTGTTAGGATGAATACTATGTTCTGATATGGGAAATGGAATAAAGAACACAAATTCTCTTTCTTTGTATATTGTAGTTTTGTCCATTCTGTGAGAGATGCTGGGCTCGAGAGAAAAGTGTGAGGTATCTGCATATGTATGGGTGGTATGTGTTCAACTTTTAAAATCATAATCAACTTCATTTCTCTGAACAAAAATTGGGCTATTATCATCTAGTGTGTTTTCCAGTAGTGGAAGTGGCCTCTTTCATACGCTTACTAACTGTGCTGCTTGTGGCTGATAGCCAGTGGGTACTAGGGACTGCCAAGATTAGGGCAACACAGGCCTGGAGCAGGTGTGAGCTTAGTGGGTTTAGAATCCACCACCTTTGGCTTATTATACTCTCAGTGCTGCTTGTAGCAAGTCTTGTTTTTGCCTTCGGACAGAATTGATCCATGAAGGCAAGATCCTAATTGGTTAAAGCCTATCCAGGAACTGCTCTCTGTCCACCTTGAAGCTTGTAGGGGTCCAAAGCAGTAGTCTCATTTTTTTAGCTAGAGAAGAGAAGGTATATTTCTGATTGACCACACTTGGCCCTTTTTAAAAATTGATAAATGCTTCTGAAATAATTCTGACTAGAATCCCTGGTAGTAAACCTCCTTTCAATTTGGTTTCTTTGAGTGGGAGCAGAGAATGGAACTGTTTGTTTGTTTTCTCTTCTGAAAAACATTTCTTATGGGGTCATGCACACCATCTCATAGTTAGGGTTTTTATATCACACAGAGTAAGAATAATTGTGTTTTTGTATATGACTGTGTTTAGGTAATACTTGATTTAATATTTACCTTTATAATATTGTTTACCCACAGCAACATTTAGAAAATGTTCAAGGAGATTGTATTTAATGTTTTACCCTTTCCTCCTTTCTTTTTTCTTTGTAATTTTAGGAGATTCCTCAACAGTTGAATGGGAGTGATTGTGGAATGTTTACTTGTAAATATGCAGATTATATTTCTAGGGACAAACCTATCACATTTACTCAGGTGAGTGAAGACTCCTCAACTATTTACTTGTTATTAAGCAAGATGAAGTACTTGGCCAGCAGCTGGCACATGTTGAGCTCTCAATAGTAGTAGCTGGCTGGGTGTGGTGGCTCACACCTGTGTTCCAAACACTTTGGGAGGCCAAGGCGGCCAGATCACCTGAGGTCAGGAGTTCAAGACCAGCCTGGGCAACATGGTGAACCCCTATCTCTACTAAAAATACAAAAATTAGCCAAGCGTGGTGGTGCACACCTGTAGTCCCAGCTACTCAGGAGGCTGAGGCAGGAGAATCGCTTGAATCCAGGAGGCAGAGGTTGCAGTGAGCCGAGATCATGCCACTGCACTTTAGCTTGGGTGACACAGCAAAACTTCGTCTCAAATAATAATAATAAAATAAATAGTAGTAGCTGTGCTATTATTGCTGTTAACCTTGGCTATAGTCTTACTCATAACTGCCAGAATCAGAGTTTGTTACTTTATCTGCTCTCAGATATATCCTATACTATATCCTAGTCTTTGGTGACATAATGGGCACAATTTGCAAATCTCTGAACTCTGGCATTCGTTGGTTCCTGTGTATTATTATTTCTAGCCAAAGAAAGAGGCATGTCAGTAATTAATAGCAAGGGAAAAACAGGCCTTGTGAGAACTGAAGCCACAGGTCTAAGATGTAACTTGTGAATATTGCTTTCCTTTCTGTTCTGTTGTTTGTGTGTTTCTCCATGGCTCTGGGTTTGATTGGAAACTCAAGTATGTTGGGAACTCTTGAGAATTTGTTCTGAACAGTGGATTCTCAACTTTTTTACAACTGAGGACAATCCCATTACAAAATATTTTTCATCAACAGACCTTATTTTAATAGATGTTGTCTACCAAACAAACTGTATTTATTACATGAAGTAATTCAGACTCCCATGGTGAATTAATACAATTCGAGTATAAAATAAAGGCATGTATTCCTTAGTCTCAGCAGTTTTACTAATGTGCCGTTTTTACTAGATGTTTTGAACTATTTAAAATAATTTAAGAATCATATGTTAAGACTTTATAGCCTCTACCCCAGGTAGGACATCACTAGTTTATTATTATTATTATTATTATTATTATTATTATTGAGATGGATTCTTGCTGTGTTGCCCAGGCTGGAGTGCAGTGGCATGATCTCGGCTCAGTGTAACCTCTACCTCTCAGGTTCAAACGATTCTCCTGTCTCAGCCTCCCAAGTAGCTGGGACTACAGGTGTGCACCACCATGCCCAGCTAATTTTTGTATTTTTAGTAGAGATGGGTTTCACCATATTGCCCAGGCTGGTCCTGAACTCCTGACCTCAGGTGATCCACCCGCCTTGGCCTCCCAAAGTGTTGAGATTGCCGGCGTGAGCCACTGCGCCTGGCGATATCACTTGTATATAGTAAGGGCCATCCAACTATGTATGTATGTAATGGTACATCAGGAGGACTTCAAGAATGTGAACTTCTGATTTCACTAGAAGGAGTAGTTGTACTACAGATCATTTTGGAGTTGCTTTTTGTGTTGCTGCTTTGCAGATTGCCCATGTAGTGATTGTCAGTTAAAGCAGAATAATTTATTAAGCAAAACATCTCATTTTTTGGCTGGGCGCGATGGCTCACGCCTGTAATCCCAGCACTTTGGGAGGCTGAGGCCGGCATATTACCAGAGGTCGGGAGTTCGAAACCAGCCTGATCAACATGAAGAAATACCGTCTCTACTAAAAATATGCAAAGTTAGCCGGGCACATGCCTGTAGTCCCAGCTATTCAGGAGGCTGAGGCACAAGAATTGCTTGAATCCAAGAGGCAGAGGCTGCAGTGAGCAGATTGCGCCATTGTACTGTAGCCTGGGTGACAGAGTGAGACTCTGTCTCAAAAAAAAAAAAGGAGGTTTATAATTACATGTACCATAATTTTTTTTTTAATATGGAGTCTTGCACTGCCACCCAGGCTGGAGTGCAGTGGTGCCATCTCAGCTCACTGCATCCTCCACCTCCCAGGTTCAAGTGAATCTCCTGCCTCAGCCTCCCGAGTAGCTGAGATTACAGACACTCGCCACCATGCCCAGCTAATTTTTTGTATTTTTAGTAAAGACAGGGTTTCACCATGTTGGCCAGGATGGTCTTGATCTCTTGACCTCGTGATCCACCCGCCTCGGCCTCCCAAAGTGCTGGGATTACAGGCGTGAGCCACCATATCCTGGCCTTAACCTCCTTTTTAATGGTTTAATAAGTATGTTCCATGATGTAAAAATGTCAATGCTTAGAAAAAGGACATGGATGTCCTACTTTATGGACATGATGACATGTACATTCACGTGTAATGCGTGTTTTGTTTATGGGAATCTTTGCAGCACCAGATGCCTCTCTTCCGGAAGAAGATGGTGTGGGAAATCCTTCATCAGCAGTTGCTGTGAGAAAACTTTGCCTGGTCCCTCTAGCTGCTGGTGGTTCTTTCACAGACATTTCCATATACCTCATGCATTGTGGGTTAAAAAGTCCCTGCATCACTTCTGTTCTCTCACAGGTACTGAGCTGTCAAAAGTGCATGAAGGCCTCTCACTGCACCCTAGTCCTGAGTTGGGGTGCAGAGGGCTGCTTGCAATCCTGTTTGTAAGGCTGTGCCTGCTCAGAGCTTTGGACTGTTCAACCCACACAAGAACAAACGCTAATATTTTTTTTAAGAAATTATTTTCCCTATGAATGTGGGAAATGCAGGATTTATTCTGTGAATTGTTTTTTTCTGTGTGTTTGTTCAGCGTATTCATTCACTCATTTGTTTGCAAACATAATGGGCAGTGGCCATTACTACTGCTCTTTTATAGTTAGCTCTAAATTACTTGTTTGAACTATTTATTTCTGAAAGGAATGTTACTCAAGCTGCCACTCCCTGCTGAAGACCAGGAGGGAAATCTCACTGTGGGTGGAAGGAAGTGGAGCTGGAGCACTAACTGCCAACATGAAGCTGGGGGGGGGGGTGGGATTTTTTTGTTGTTGTTTGTTTGTTTGAGGCTCAGAAATGCTGGGAAAAGCAAAAATGCTGTGGGATAGGGCTCCCATTGCCTTTCAGAGGAAGTCTGACACTACAGCATTGGCACAGTGCCATGGAACCGTGGAACTGTGCCCAAGGAACTCTGACTACCCAAGCATCTTCAGAAGAGCGTTGTGGTCTTCTTACAGTGACTTCCCTTGCTGGAAATGAGGTGACTTGGCTTAGTCTTGAAACTGGATTCATGGATTTGAAGTAACTGTAAACTCTAAATCTTCATTTTCATCCCAGATCTGGTTGAGTATAAACCTCAGAATTGTAGGGGCTGGCCTGAGCTGTTTATTTCAAAAGATACTATTCAATTTAAAGCTATTTTTCCTCAAAGTTTTTGTTTTCTATATATTGAGCCTAAATTAAGTTTTCTACTCAATGAGACTAACATCTCCCCACTCCATCCCCACCGAAAGCTGAAGAAAAATGTACTTGGCTCTGAGGTTGCCAGTTACACAGTAATCTATTTTGCATATGAAAGTTTGTATTTAACTTTTTTGTTCATTAAAAACCTTACTGATGTGGTTATAATTTCAGAAAGTTTAGAGTTGGTCAGAACATATTTTGCAAGATCTAGTGCCTAGTGTTGCTTTTCTGATGTAATAAAAGGTTGTCTGGCAGAACCCAAAAAGTATATGCTGAAATGATTTCTAACCCTCTCCCTACTGAAGCCTCCCAAACTTGTTCCGGTTCATAACAGCAAGAGGTAAAACTGGAAAAACTGGGCATGTGTTCCTTATGGATCTGCATGCCTGCCATTTGGGGTGCCCACGCTGCTGGTCCCAGAGGTATACTGGCTATAGCTATTGCAGCCAGCTTTCCCCGAGACTTGTAAAACTCCTGGTTGAGGACATGGGACCTGTGATGTGGGTTGAAAATGCTGGTCCTACTTGATGGTCAGCCAGAGGCCATGTGCTTGGGTGATAATTAAAGCAGGAGCAGGTTGTGCTGCATCTCCCTCTGTCCTGCAGCCCCTGCTCCTGTCCTGGGCTCCTGGCACTGCCAGCAAGTATTGGGGCCAGGCAATCGCACAGCTAAAAAGGCCAGAGGTTTGTGAGGCCAGCATTATGCCAGACTCCTGGCTTTCCCTGGGCATGTCCCTTGAGAGTTTGGTACCTTGGTTAAGATTGAGTGCATGCTAGGTAAGTCCTGCTAAGAATGGCAGTTTGTATTCTGCCCAAATGAAGATGCTGAGGCTTAATGTATTATTCAAGGGGCTGCTTAAGAGCATTTCTCACTGAGCTCTCCATTACTACACACTCTTCCGGATGGCTCTCAAATCTTCCAGGACATAATGAAATTGGGAAGAGCACAGTGTTGAGCTCTCTAGCATGGCCTTCTGCTTGGCCCTGAGTTCCTGAATTTCCTGTGGGAGACCACAGGCCATGCTTCTCGAGGCATTAACGTGTCTCCGTGGGCACAAAGCAGCAGCATGTTAGTAATAACAGCTTTTTAGAGCCAAACAATTTATTTGGATCTAAAAGTTTATTGAAGTGTTCAGGTGAAAAAACAGCTACTAAATTTATTAATAGAAAATTATCACCATTAAAGCCAGTGGGCTTTGTGTGTGTGTGTGTGTGGTTTGTTTTTTGTTTTTTTTTTTGAGACAGTTTTGCTCTTGTTGCCCAGGCTGGAGTGCAATGGCTCAATCTCAGCTCACTGCAACTTCTGTCCCCCGGGTTCCAGCAGTTCTCCTACCTCAGCCTCCCGAGTAGCTGGGATTACAGGCGCCAACCACCACGCTGGTTAATCTTGGATTTTTAGTAGAGACAGGGTTTCACCATGTTGGTCAGGCTGGTCTTGAACTCCCAACCTCAGGTGATCCACCTGCCTTGGCCTCCCAAAGTGCTGGGATTACAGGCATGAGCCACCAAGCCCGGCCATTACTATTTTTTAGTAGTCTCTCAAAAATTGATGTAGATTTTTAAAATATACTGTTCAGGCCAGGCACGGTGGCTCAAGCCTGTAATCCCAGCACTTTGGGAGGCCGAGGTGGGTGGATCACGAGGTCAAGAGATCGAGACCATCCTGGTCAACATGGTGAAACCCCGTCTCTACTAAAAATACAAAAAATTAGCTGGGCATGGTGGCGCGTGCCTGTAATCCCAGCTACTCAGGAGGCCGAGGCAGGAGAATTGCCTGAACCCAGGAGGCCGAGGTTGCGGTGACCCGAGATCGCGCCATTGCACTCCAGCCTGGGTAACAAGAGCGAACACTCCATCTCAAAAAAAAAAAAAAAAACTGTTCAGAGCAAGTATCTTTTTCAGGCGTGACCCTGAACAGAGCTGGATTGGGGTGGGAGGGAAACAGATTTGGGGCATATGGAAGATGTTCCTGGGAGCCCCACATTCTACCTCAGTTACCCAAGGCTATTAGAACCTGTGAGTTTTTCCTCTGAAATCTTATGCACATGTCTGATAGTGGATGCTTGCCTGCACTGTGAGGAGCTGCCTGATGCTGGACCAGAGTGTGGATGTGGGGATAATGTATCCTAGTAGAAACAGTGAACCTCAGATGTGAGTAAATAAGCAACAGACAGAAAGTTAAGCTTGTGACAGCCTTAGTACTGTAGTTAAGCTACATTGTTTAAATTGGCTTTTGTGAACTAATTGGAACCTAATCTCTTTTATAACCATTTCTTTGAGAAAAATTCGCAAGTACCTGATCTTCAAACAAACTTATGGTACATATTTGTAAACTGAAGATCCACCTGGCTATATTATTGCTTTGACAATTTTTTTTCTTTTAATTTACCTAATATACACAGGAAGGGTTTGGATATATTGGAATAGGTGTTGCTTTTCTCTATTTACCAATAAAGTGATCTCTTTAATTCAGTGGCTTTCACTTTTTTTTTAATTGCAACTCATAGGAATAAATGTATTTTATGTTGTGAACACACACACACACACATAGTGTGATTATGGACATAAAAATGTCACATATACTTTTGTGAAGTAATACTTATCCTTACTATGATAGTTTTATTTCAGCTTTTAAAATAATTGAGGTTGTGACCACCAAGTTGATTTCTCTGCCCACTAATGGACAGATAATGCAGAGAAGGAAAACACTGCTCTAAGTGACCTGATCGCAAGATGCAAATTATGTTTAAAACCATAAAGGCTGAGACCAAAAAGCAAGAACAAAAAACCCTATTATAAATGTGAGGCTGATTTGAGATGACTCCATCTAAATCTAGGGAAATGGGCGAGGAGCTTTCAGACCCTTGATGGAAATATGTGGTATAAACAATCCTTAATCTTTTCTTTATTTTGAGGCCAAGTTTTGCTCTTGTTGCCCAGGCTGGAGTGCAGTGGCCGGATCTTGGCTCACTGCAATCTCTGCCTCCTGGGTTCAAGCGATTCTCCTGCCTCAGCCTCCCAAGTAGCTGGGATTACAGGCATGTGCCATCACACCTTGCTAATTTTCTATTTTAGTAGAGATGGTGTTTCTCCGTGTTGGTCAGGCTGGTCTCAACCTCCCAACCTCAGGTGATCCGCCCACTTTGGCCTCTCAAAGTGCTGAGATTACAAGCGTGAGCCACCACACCCGGCTTTACATCCTTAATCTTTAGGTCCTTAAGTGGGCATTTCCTAAAATGTGTTAAGTATAAGTCTTGTAACTTGTATAAAGAATATGTAATCCCAGCACTTTGAGGGGGCCACTGAGGCAGGAGAATTGCCTGAGCCCAGGAGTTCCAGACTAGTCTGGGCAAGATGGCAAGACCCCAATTCTATTTCTTTTTTTAAGGATATAAAGCAAAGGGTCTGTGGCCCAATGAATATGCATACCATGTCCTTTCCTCCTGGGAATGCATAGCAAACATTATACGTTTTGTATGAATGAGTTATGTTTTGTTTTGAGACAAGGTCTTGCTCTGTCACCCAGGCTGGAGTGCAATGGCACAATCTCGGCTCAGAACAACCACTGCCTCCCAGGATCAAGTAATTCTGCTTCAGCCTCCTGAGCACCCAGGACTACAGGGGCACGCCACCACACCCAGCTAATTTTTTGTATTTTTAGCAGAGACAGGGTTTCACTATATTGGGCAGTCTGGTCTTGAACTCCTGACCTTGTGATCCACCTGTCTCAGTCTCCCAAAGTGCTGGGATTATAGGCGTGAGCCACCACAGCCAGCCTATGAATGAGTTATGAACTCCTGACCTTGTGATCCACCCGTCTCAGTCTCCCAAAGTGCTGGGATTACAGGCGTGAGCCACCACATCCAGCCTATGAATGAGTTGTGTTTTAAGCTGGCATTTCCCAAAACTTGGACATTGAACCCTTTTCTGTGAGACACCTGTGGAACTATTTTATGGAATACACTTAGAAAAGTGCCAGGAGAAGCAACATAGACAGTTCTTGGAAGTACGTACTGTAAGAACACACTGGGCAGCCTTACTACTCCCCTTCCATGGCCTCCCAACACACCACATCCTCATGTGATCATAAAGTCTGATCCCACACTACCACCCTGTCCCCTTATATTTTTCTTTAATTATATCAGTAATAGGTGTTCATAGTATAAAAATAAAATGCTGATATAAGGTAATAATTCTGCGAATTCACCACCTGGAGTTAATAATACCTCTTAACATTAACATTTGGGCCGGGCACGGTGGCTCACACCTGTAATTCTAGCACATTGGGAGACTGAGTTGGACCAATTACTTGAGGTCAGGAGTTCCAGATCAGCATGACCAACGTGGTGAAACCCCATCTCTACTAAAATTACAAAAATTAGCTGGGTGTGCTAGTGGGCACCTGTAATCCCAGCTGTTGGGGAGGCTGAGGCAGGAGAATCACTTCAGCCAGAAGCGGAGGTTGCAGTGAGCAGTGTACCACTGTATTCCAGCCTGAGACTGTCAAAAGAAAGAAAAATTGGGCATATATCCTGGCCTTCCCCCTTCGTGGATATGTGAATACATGAACAGGCTTGTATGTGTATATAACTTGTTACTAACAAATACAGAATTATGATTACATAACTCCTTTTCCATTTACCTTGAACACTTTCATGTCAATAAATACCATTTTAGTTGCTGCAGAGTGTACCACTACATGGCTATCACAAATATATTTAATCCAGCATTACTGAATAGCCTTGCGCGGTGTTCAGATTATCCTAAGAAATTCTTAATATTGTAATTTCTGGGTTACAAGTCATGTATATTTTTAAAAATCAGGAAAAAAGTAATTACCCACTGGTATTTTGACTCATCTCTTCCAGCATGGGATAATTGTATCTCCACTGATTTAAGATTCGTAATATTTTTCACGTGTAGGCCTTCAGTTCATTCCAAGGGATTTAATACCTCATTTTAGTGAACAATTTTCTCTTTGTTTCAGCTACTTTACAAAAAAAAAAAAAAAACTTTATTATGGGGATTTCAAGACAGACAAAAATGGAATAGTATAGTAACCCTCCCCCCCCCTTACCTGTGGTTTTGCTTTTTCCTTGGTTTTGGTCACTCTTGGGTCAACCAAAAACATTAAATGAAAGTAACAGAAATAGACACTTTGTTTTAAATTGTGCACCATTGTGAGTAGCATGATAAAATCTGCCACTGTCCTGCTCTGTCCTGGGTGGAACAGGAATCATCCCTTTATTTTATTTTTGAGATGGAGTCTCACTCTGTCTCACCCAGGCTGGAGTGCAGTAGTGTGATCTCGGCATACTGCAGCCTCTACCTCCCAGGTTCAAGAGAGTCTTGTGCCTCAGCCTCCTGAGTAGCTGGGACTATAGGTGCCTGCCACCACACCTGGCTAATTTTTCTATTTTTAATAGAGATGGGGTTTCACCATATTGGCCAGGCTGGTCTCAAACTCCTGACCTCAGGTGATCAGCCCACCTCGGCCTCCCCAGGTGTTGGGATTACAGGTGTTGAGCCACTGCACCGGACCTTCATCTCTTCGTTTAGCATATCCACACTGGATATGCTACCCACTTGTTACTTTATAGGAAAACACCATATGTGTGTGTATATATATACATATAGGTTTAGGTACTGTCTGTGGTTATAGGTGTTTCTGGGCCTTTGCAATAGACTAGGAAATGTTTTTCTTTAAAGGAAAAAGTTTTACTGACTTCAAAATCAAATGTAAGATTCCAAGGTTTTTCTTTTTTTTGAGACAGGGTCTCACTGTGTCACCAGGCTGGAGTGCAATGGTACAATCATGTCCCACTGCAGCCTTGACATACTGGGTTCAAGCCATCCTCCAGTCAGCTTCCCGAGTAGCAGGGACTACAGGCACATGCCACCATGCCCAGCTAGTTTTAAATGTTTTTGTAAAGATGGTGTCTTGCTATGTTACTCAGGGTATCCAGGGGTTTTCTTGATCTTACATTGTAATCTTGAAAATCTTGGTTGCTATCAACATCAACGTAATTATTCACTTTACCCTTAAGTACACCTGTAACAGTTTCAAAATATCAGTGCCAGTTTAACTACTGAGATGAGGGTTCACCATGTTGGCCAGGCTGGCCTTGAACTCCTGACCTCAAGTAATCTGCCCACATCAGCTTCCCAAAGTGCTGGGATTACAGGCATGAGCCACCACACCTGGCCCCCTAAAAACTATTGAAATAAAAAAATATATAATTATTTTAAAAATTAGCCAGGTGTGGTGGTGCATGCCTGTAGTCCCAGGTACTCAGGAGGCTGAGGCAGGAGGATTGCTTGAGCCCAGGAAGTTGAGACTGCAGTGAGCCATGACTGTGCCACTGCACTCCAGCCTGGGCAATAGAGGAAGATTCTTTGTCCACACACAAAAAAAAGAATATAATTTTGTCTATGAGGTTTTCCCCTCCTGCCAGCTCTTTCTGAGAGAGCAAGAGCTATTAAGAATACTCAATTAGGGTTTTTCCAATGAGGACAAAGATACAACATACCAGAATATCTGGGACACATTTAAAGCAGTGTGTAGAGGGAAATTTTTATAGCACAAAATGCCCAGAAGATAAACAAGGAAACATGTAAAATTGACACCCTAACATCACGATTAAAAGAACTAGAGGAGCAAGATCAAACAAACTCAAAAGCTAGCAGAAGGCAAGAAATAACTAAGATCAGAGCAGAACTGAAGGAGACAGACACGAAAAACACTTCAAAAAAAATCAATGAATCCAAGAGGTGTTTTTTTGTAACGATCAACGAAATAGATAGACCGATAGCCAGATTAATGAAAAAGAGAAGAATCAAATAGATGCAATAAAAAATGATAAAGGGGACATCACCACTGATCCCACAGAAATATAAATTACCATCAGAGAATACTATAAACACCTCTATGCAAATAAACCAGAAAATCTAGAAGAAATTCCTGGACACTTACACCCTCCCAAGACTAAACCAGGAAGAAGTGAAATCCCTGAATAGACTAATAAGAAGGGCTGAAGTTGAGGCAGCAAGTAATAGCCTACCAACCAAAAAAAAGTCCAGGACCAGACAGGTTCACAGCCAAATTCTACCAGAGGTACAACGAGGAGCTGGTACCATTCCTCCTGAAACCTTTCCAAACAATAGAAAAAGAGGGACTCCTTCCTAACTCATTTATGAGACCATCATCCTGATGCCAAAACCTGGCAGAGACACAACTAAAAAAGAAAATTTCACGCCAATATCCACGACGAACATTGATGTGAAAATCCTCAATAAAATGCTGGCAAACTGAATCCAGCAGCACATCAAGAAGCTTATCCACCACGTTCAAGTCGGCTTTATCCCTGGGATGCAAGGCTGGTTTGACATATGCAAATCAATAAACATAATCCATCACATAAACAGGACCAATGACAAAAACCACGATTATCTCAAGAAAAAAGAAAAATAAC